TACACAGGTTTTACCACAAATTCATAATTTCATCGCCCGGCGCCCGATGCCAAGAAACCGCACCGTCAAAAAAACTCCGCTTGCGTTGCTCTAGCTCTCTAGCGCATGGAGAAGGATGACGTCGAAGAGTAAAAATGCCACGTTTAAAAAGATCGTGTTAATTTTTTTCGCACGAAAGTTTTCCGTATCACACGTTCGCTATTTTCATTACCAATGGATTATCGTTAATCACGGTTCATAGTTGCAGAGCCAAGCGAATTAAAAGGCGAACCGTCAATGACTTGACGTCGTGAAATTCGCTTTGCTTTTGCGTGAAGTATATGAACTATGAACCGACTCAAAGTTGGATGAATTTTGAGTGACACTGTCAATCTTGAAATATTATGAAACCCAATTCATCCAAATCGGATGGTAGGATTCAGAGAGATCTATAATATTTCGATACCAATGCGAGTAAACGGAATCGATACTCGAGCCTTTAAGTTCGTTAAACCGATTTTGAAGGCGTCTAATATTGACGCGATCCCGCTCTCATCCGGATATCGATTATCGGTCATACAGACACCCCGAGGTGTCCATGTCCAGGTGCCAGTCTTCAAGGTAATAACATGACGTGACCCACAAACTCCCGAAAAAAAATCCCCGCAGTGTACGTGACTCATTGTCAGCCTGATGCGGTCAAGGATCTGCTGTCGGAGGAGTTGAAGACGATCGAATTTGAGTTAATTGTGATTTCATAAGAAACCGATTCCAATTAGCAATTCTGTGCGAAACATAGTTTTTCATCTTCGAAACCTTCCTCTTCTAAATGGTGTTGTGCGTTTCCTTCCTTGGGAGTATACTCAATAGATTGTTCTATCGGCATTTTGGGCAAATTTAGTCCTTGTTCTGAAGTTGATCAAGGTTTATGAACGGCTACATCCAAATTAATGTATAATAGGTTGCTCTTCGAGGACAATTGATGTCATTTTCCACATGTTCGAGTGAAAATAATGCATGCTGGCTCAATTAGCTTAGACATCATTGACAAGTCAATACTGTGTGGCGTCGTTTTTTTTGTCTTTGTTTTACAAGATGAAGATCAAAATACAAAAACGGAATGCAGTTTGGGGCTTTCTGCAAAAGGTTAACAAGAATTAAGCTCATTAAAATATATTTTTTAAAATCCGCCGAAAACAAGATCCGCTGAAGAAATTCTCGGAATCATCTCCAGACGAAATGGCGACCACTCAGCACTCGTGGGACAACTGTTCAAAGAAGTTAATTTTGGATTTTGTCTGCGTGTACTGGCAAGACTGCACGGCCCGGCGCGGCTTGGGAGGAGGCGGTTCGATATGTATCCCCTTCGAAATGTCCTCGAAGAGCTTGACCCGGTGCCGAATCTCCGGAGAGCCAGGGCAGGGGCTGGGCGGCTGATCCAGAGTACCGTCCAGTTTCTTGATCCGCAATCGTTCCTTCTTCAGACGGGTCATGACCTCCTCAAAGTACTCGATCTTGCGTACCAGGGGCAGCGAGCTCAGGTCCGGTTCCTCAGGTGGTTCCTCGGGTTCGGCTGGGGGAGGGACGGTCGGTTCCTCCTGGACGTCTTCGCTGTCAAGCCCGCCGAATTGCTGCACCTCGTCCGAGAAGCGAACCCGCCGGTTGCTGTGGCCACCCTCTTCGCTGTTGTTGGAGAATCGCCGGCTGCTGGTACGGCGATTCCGCTCCAGGAAGGCTGTGGGATTAAACGAGTCGTCAGTCTCTCCAGCGGACGCGTAGCCCTCCGAGCCGTCATCTTCTTCGGGGAGTGGGTAGGAGTCTCGTATGGAGACCACCTGTTGCCGCGCCAGGGGCCGGTGCGTGTTGCGCGTACGCGGCTCCGCCTTCAGGGCCTCCTCACTGACCGATTCGGCCGCGCCGTTAGACCCAGCTCCCTTGTTAAGCTTCTCATGTGCCGCTAACATCTCCGTCAGCGGCTTGAGGATGTTGCCATCCTCGTCTATACATCCGCTGCGCCGAGCTTCGATCACCTTATGGACACACTCCACAAACTTTCCCCGTCTCCTGCGACGAAACAGCATGTCGAACCGCTTGGCGAAGGTTCGCTTGAAGAAGGCCATTTTTCTCCCTTACCCGAGTCGAGTTCGCAAGGGGCAAGTTCAATTCACCGTAACTTCAGTCTGCCCAGGCCGTGCTACACCGGCACTGCCGTTGCTGCTGACTGGTAAAAAGTCAGCTCAGATCAGCTCAGCTCGAACCTTCCACTTGGGCTGCAATGTCGACGGGGAAAGTCAGCGGAGTTAAGCATTGCCAGTTACAACCAGGGTCAGTAGGAAACGCATTTCCGCAGCCAGGGCTCTACGTGGCGTCTTGAAGGAATTGCTGCCAGTTCTGGGCAGCTTGAGTCACGAGGGCGTGTGTCCAAAAGTGTCTGCGAATGATCCGAGCTGATTGCGTGTTCGGCTCATGAATATTAATATAAAGTTCTAAACTGAAGCTCAGCACTCAAGCAAATTGGCCATCAGTATGACAAATTGCAGCCCCCCCCCCCCCCCCCCCCGCTAAAAGATATAATTGCAGGGTATCTAGCGCCACCAGCTGCATGGACACAAAAGACAGTTGCTAGATTTTTATCTAATTTTCAGATTTGGCGCTTTTTAGGGAGGGAGAGAGGTTAACGTGGCCTTATGATGTTCTTTTTACTTTTACATGCGTCCCCTCCACATGAAACTGGAAGAAATGAAAAAGTGCATTGTCCTAATAACTGGCAAATATGTTTTAAAAGTGAAACGACACAACAAAAATGAGACACAATGAGAAAGTGTTTAATTTTTAATTTCTACTTTCACTTTGTAAGTTTTTATTACTTTAATCTTTTTTTTTAATATTTGGTTTTTGCATTTCATATTTTAAACTTTTTTTTGCCTTTGATATTTTCTTTTCTTTTGGATTTTTCTTTTTTTTATAAAAATGGTTTGGATTTAAACATTTGAAATAATTTCTTGTTTAACCTCAGTAGAGTTAAACAACAGAGGAAAATTGAAAGAGTTTGGTGAAAATTTTAAAAATAAATCCTTCCTAATTGGCAATGATCTTGATATACAAAACTTTTCTAAGAATTGTTTGAGGTCCATGAGTATTCGAAGAGATATTTATGAATTTAATAATAATATTTGATTTTCAGTTTTATAAATATGATATGTAAATAAGCAATTCCTAGTTGGCACTATTTAATACATAAAAAATATTTATTAAAATTGTTTAAGGTTCATGATACTTCGAAGAGATATTCATGATTTTAATAACAATATTTTGATTTTCCTTCATATAAATATTATATAAATAGGCAATTCAGTGCATAAAATATATAGTGAGTGAAATTTTTACCATAGTGAAAATAACTTCATCAAATTATAGACATTTCTAACTGCAATGAATTAATTAACTAATGATTGAAAAACTGGCAATCGACGTCATAACAAGTCTAATATCACTATCCATTCCTAACACGATTTGAAGCTGGTGAACGGTCCTCAGAAGAATTGTGTAAAAAGAAAATGCCTCTGAGAAGAACCAGTGTAAACACCCAATATTTCGACCAATTTGCTCCGACCATGTTCAGGAGAGGTGATGGAATCTGGTAGATACTGCTCATAGGAAACCGAGGGCTCAGCAAGGCGTAAAGATGAGAAAGCTGGCACAAGATCTCGTGAATTGAGGCAGAGAAGAGTGGGCTCACTGAACTGTGTCAGTAGGAGACGAGCACTGGTGGTGGAGAGAAGTAGGGAGAACGGGGTGTCAGATATCTCTGAGCTGGAAACTGATGTCTTGTGGTACGGTGTGATGCTTGAAGATCTTGATAGCTCCTCAGATGCATCTTGTGTTCCTTTATATGGATGAGGGTGTTGAGTTCTGCTTCCTGCAAGTTGGTGAAGTCATCAGATTGCTTGGAAAGGCTGAAAATGACTGACTAATCAAACTGGCCCCCAGCTTCCATGGGCTTTGTGCTCCTCCAGGTTGCAACCCGTTTCCTTGATGTAGACACAATGACGAAGGATGTCAAATACTTGAGGGCGGTTGTTAGGATCCAGGTTGGGTGTGAGGGTGGGGAGGAGGCCTTGGAGTTAGAGAGGAACTGATTTGTACACCTTGATGTCTGCTTGATTGTTGTGTCAGAGTCTGTACAAAGGGGAGTGTAGGTAAGGGAGGCAAATTGAGTAGTTGGAAGATCGACTTTGGCCTGCTGTAGACTGGGCCCCAACAGACCACAGCAGGTGCTGAATTTGCCTCCAGTACCTAGGTCACTTTTGCAAAGACTCTGAGGTGCCCTACATCAAGCAGGCATCAAAGTGTGTTCCACAACCCCTGTCTGATAAACTTCAAGGCCTACTCTGCACTCACATAGACAAACTGGGTCCCAAGAACTTCCCTGGAGTATACGCCCCGGCACATCCCTTGTCAGTGTGGCAAATCAGAGAAACTGGGCACGACCTCGACACTAGACTCAAAGAACAACTTAGCCCATGGAAGAGTTCCTCAAGTCAGCCACTGTCGGACAATCACAGTGATCAGATGACTTTATCAAATGGCAGCTAGAGGGCAGAACTCATCTCACCCCTTCCAAAAATGGAACCCAAGACGTATCTGAGACGCCATCAAGATCTTCAAGTTTCGCACCATACCTCAAGACACCAGTTTCCAGCTGAGTGACATCTGTTGCCCTGTTCTCCCTACCACCCACCAACAGCAGGGCCTGTCTTCTGCTGACTAAGTTCAGTGAGCACAGTCTCCTCTCTCCCATTTCACAAGACCATGTGCAGACCTCCTCTTCTTCACGCCTCGGTATAGCACTCGGTTTTCTACTCAACCAGTATCCACCCAAATCCAACACCTCCTCTGAACACAACCAGAGGAGACTGACCAAAACATCAAGTATTCACCATCTGATTCTCTCCAACTTACTCTCAAACCACAATAAAAAGAGACTCCTTCTGTGGTGTTACTGCAATTGCAAACCTTCCCCAGTAGTCTTTTTTCATCGTGTTCATTTAGATGATGTTTGCAATGAGTTGATCCAACAAGTCCAATTTAAAAGCAGCACTAACAATTGCAATGTTGAAGACTAGCATGATAGCGGCAAAAACAAAGGCGGTCAGCTGTGCTCCATAATAAAGACACACAGCGGCAATGAGTTGACCTCTAGGCACCCCGTTGACTTTGTAGTTGTGTGCTGCCCTCTTGAGTTCTGCTGTCTCATTGTTCATGTTCAGCTCTTCCAGCTTGAGAGCTTGCAGGCGAAATGAAGTCAAAGAGGATATCTGTTTCTCCAGTTTATTGATTTCTGTGGTGAGATCCTGAAAGCAAACAAGTCAAACACATCCAAGTATAGTGTAGTATCAAGTGTGTCATATCAAGAACATGTTTCAGATGCCAAAACTAAATGCCATTTCAATCTGCTGATGAATTTGAAACTTCAAATTTTTTATCTTTCCCTTACCTTCTGCTCTTTGTTGATCGCAGCTTTTTCTGAAACCTGATGGGCAGATTTGGCCTTAAACATCTTCTCCATACCAGCGATTTGCTTTCTGTATCCATCCTCCAGAACTTTACTGTTCTCGATGCTCTGCTTAAGGCCATCGTACTCATCTACTTGGAGCGAATTCTCATTCTGGATCTGCCGGAATTGAGCCTGAAGTCGGCTATGCTGTGGTGCCAGGTTCTCGTTAATGTATCCTTGAGCTGCGTCTATCTTGGTCACCACGGCTGCTTTTTCCTTATTCATCCCGGCTTCTAGGTCGCCTTTCTCTTTGGCGACTTGACGTCGCTCTTTGGCCAATTGGCGCTCGATCTCGGCCGACTCTGCCTCGACGGCCGATGCATATACCATGGTCTTCTCTGTGGTGCGCACCGATTGGTTGATCTGATGGCGGCATATTTGTGTATCCAGGAGGAGGTGATGGTGATTGGTCAGTCGGAGCTTTCCGACTTTCGGTGCAGTTGGCTTTGGCTCAGGCTCAGTGTGCTCAGCTGTAGGTCTGTAATTGAAAAAAATTGTCACATACTGTACATGAGTGTTGCATTGATATCATTAACTTTGTCAAACGTCAGTTAGCCAGTTGGTCAGGCAGTCAAACATTCGGTCAGCCATGCGATCAGTCAATTTAACAGTCAGGCAGGCTGTCAGTCATTCAGGCAAGTCATGCAGTCATTCAGCATTCTTTCAGTATGTCAGTCAGTCTGTCAATTAGTCAGTTAGTTGGTCAGTAGATCAGTCAGTCAGTCAGTTCAGGACAGGCTGTCAGTACAACCGCCCACTCACCCACCCTCCCCTCACCCACGCCCCAACCCCATCCTGTCCAACCATCCACCCAACAACAAACCCTCCCACTCACCACCCACCCCATCCCAACTACCCCAACTACCCCAACCATCCCAACCATCCCCACCACCCCACCCCATCCAACCCCACCCCTGCATCTAACCAACACCCTCCACCCCACCCCCTCACCAACCCCATTCCCCACTACCTAACCTCACCCCATCCACACAGCATACCCACTTTTGGTATGAATACTGATTCAGTCACCTCGTCGGTTTCATTTTTTCAAGCCGAGAGTTATTTCAAAATGACACTTTACAGCAGGATTTGCTTGATGAAAACTGTTTTGAAAGGGCAATATATCTAAAATATTTCGTAACGGAACAAGTGGATATGATCCAAGAATGTCATCAACTCCAAATGAGTTCTAAAAGTCTTACTCTGGGGAGCCAGCCAGTTTCTCCTTCAGCCATGGTGTAGCGATGTGCAGTATCTCGATCGTAACTACGACCAAGCAAGTAATCATGACGATTCACTTCAATAGGTCGTCTCTATCAAAGTACAGCTTGTCTAAGACAAGTTTATGTTGTTTTTTGTGGCTATATTTCAGCGAATAATAGGCTCAAATTACTTCAAATACGCGAGAGAAAGTCTGGTGCAACACTCGTGTACAACTCGAAGTAGGGTCTGATGAGCAAAATGTAAACAAACACCTCACGCGCACGTCACGTCATCACCGCCGAGGTTGTTAACGAAACGTTAACCGAAGAACACGGTACCCGATTGGTCAAAAGTAACAATAGTCAAGCGCCAGCGCGTAATGCGCAAGCGCGGTTGGACTTATTTACATTCTTTCGTGAATAATGCATTGTTTTAAAAATTAGGTGAACGAACTTTCTTGGAGGAATGTGAACTTGTGATAACAATTATTTATCGATAAAAAAAATTCTGGCTGCAAATTAATTTCCCCGTTAGCTTTAGGGGTTACTTAGGAATATTGATTTTACCTATCTTCTTTTAATATATTTGGTCCCCTTGTCTTTGCACGAAAAAGCAGCAATGTAGGAGTAATTTTCATTAAAACAATGAATCTCAAACACACTTTTCTTTTCAATTTGCTTTATTTAACCTTTCACTATTGCTCAGTCACCGATTACCGCAGAGCTACTTAATCATTAACCCATCAACAAATTGCAGTACTGAAGCAATATAATTAATACAGCTTATAAAAGCTTTGCTTGGCAACAGAATATAAATATAGTTTTTTTTGGCGAAATTCTAATGAACATGATTGGTAACTTTGAATAATCTCATGCATGCAATGAAGTATTGTTCTTTATTATTTTTTTCTGGAGGTTGTTATAAAAAAATACATACAAAAGTTTTTGTTTCCTTCACATGCAGAAAAAAATACATGCGTATTTTACAAGTACATGTACCTCATTCAATTCTGATGTGGGGATGAAATTGAATAAACAACTTGTTTGTGTACATAATCAGCTGTATTAATCTCTATCGCTATGCACTTTGTACTGTGTACCAAAATCCAGACAGAAACTACCAATGATGTTCAAAGAATTCAAGATAACAATCCACAGATCTAAATATATACACTTTTATCTCAATTGTAGGATTTGATCCTATCTTCTGTACATGATTCCATCTTTCCAAACCTGCAGTTGCACAAACGTTGACATTTTTTAACACAGTTTATAGTTTTGCATTTGATCAAACTGATGTCAAGACAGGTTCTACACTTATTATATACAGCTTTTTTGACATTTGCTCAAAATATTCCAAACCGCCCTTTCCACTTTGACATTAATTATGCAAATAATAACCATAAAGACAGAAATTAAAGAAAACCACAAAATTAATTACTTAAGTTCCACTTATAAAATCACAAAGTAGTTTTTCAGTCTCATTTCACCTCTAGGCAAGAGGGCCAAGATATATGTTTGACTTTTTTTCACATTTCTAAACCAGCTGATCAAAGGCATTGAATGTAAAAAACATGTTGTGGTCGAATGATGCCGACTTTTAGCAATGGATTTCTTCAGCACTGTATGTATATTTCTTGAAATACGAACGGCTTAAAAATGTTGAGTCTGATTGACATATAACGTGGGCCAAATAACATGCAAAAGATCCAATATTGAATTTACATCACCCCGACACAAATTCCGTCTTATGAATAATTATGCAAAAATACTTTAAATGTTTGGGATTGCCCTGTAGTTGCCTGCCGGCATGACGTTATAGGTCACATGGTCTATGCAACAAACATTACGATTACCCCAATTTACTGCAATTCACATAATTTTACAATAGTCCCCACCAACATACCACTTGCGAAAGAACATAGTACTAAAGATACTTAGGAAAATAACTGAACCCTTATAAGTCATTTAAGAACATTTTCTCATATTATGCTAGAAGCATTCTCAGACAAACTGCTTCATGAAATGTAACATACAAAGGACTTAATTTTTCTGGATAATTGTAAAACAAAAGCATTGCCATTACATGTACGAGTATTTTACTTCATAAACAAAGTATGTGTATCAGCTTTTGCTAAATATTCAGCAAGTATTACAGAGCATGCTAAGGCTTAAGTTTGAAATATAGACATCTTGGGCATGTAATATGTCCATTCGCATAAGATAGACTATGAAGCTCGAATCATTTGTTGCCGATCCAAAAGTGTGTCAGTCATCAACGGTACAGAATGGTTGTACTCTGCGAAGCTGAAATAAAAAGAACCAAAATCACAACATTATTAATTATTCAGATCCAAACAATTTTGTAGACATTTTCACGAAAACTAAACTCTGCGGCATATGCAACTGCATAAGGCTTATATGTTTATTGAAGCCAAAGCAATGACTGAAATGCTAATGGAGACAACGTGGATTCCAATGTGGATCTCTGCAGGGTTTCAAATGAGAAACAGACCAATATAGTTTTACTATGAACAGAGATTTGACTGGGTAGTCAGAAAAATAACGTTAAAGTTCCAAACTGTACAAGTTTTTCCCTTTTTGAAGATTTCGTTGGCACTGAATGGATATTAAAAGGCCACTTTTGCAAAGTTCTAAAACACTTTTGCAAAGTTCTAAAACACCCTTCATTATAATGAACTTTCTGGGCACACTGTTGAATTTCAAAGGCAGGGCGAAACCTGTAAAAACAGTTCCTGTTTTTAAAATGTTTTATGATTTTTTTTTTTAATTTCACTTTAAATTAACTTTGCCTTACATCTCTGTAAAAAATGTATGTTCATGATGAAATCATTTTTAAAGTGTTGACATGTAAACTGCAATTAGTGATTATTTCAAGATTACAAAATTTGGAATGTAAAAGATTGTGTTGGAAATGACACGTGGTTAAAGCATGTCTTCTTGTTAATGTAATGAGGGGGAAAACATTGTACATATTTAATAAAGCAACAAAGCCGAAAATGATCTTAATTTCTATGAGCTCAATGCAGCATGAGTTCTGGACATGTATTGCATTAATGACTATATTTCAAGGTACTGAATCGAAAAATGCTTCACAGCTATGTAACAATCAATTGAGTTGGTGTTGGTGAAATGAAGAACTGTTTTCTCTTGAAAAGACGAGTTCACTTACTGGCGACCCATCATTAGTCATAGCAGCAATGCGATGCTGTCGTGGGAAAATCACACCAGGAATTTGTTACTATATGAAAAATGGCTTTACAAGAGATTCGACAATGGCTTTCCCTTAAGTTCTAATTATCTTCAGGATGTCCCCCCCCCCCCCCCCCAACACATCCAACGTATGGATGGTCCTAAGTAAACAGCTGAATCCACTTCCCATAAATAAATGTGTTGCTTCCCGTCATGGGCAAGAATTTCGGACTTGGCCATCGATGAAATAGTAAGGTGATTACTTACGTTGGCATGTATACATGCACGTCTGGCCTGGGTAAGAGTACACAGTGTTCTGGACCGGGTAGCCCCGCTGCACCACGGTACGTCCGTTCAAGATCAGCGTCTGATTGGCCGGAGGGATGACGTACTGGTTGCTGGGGACCTGATAGCTCGTGTAGGTGGTGGTACGGCCCCACTGGTTGACAGGGGCCACTTGAGTGACAGTGTAAGGGGGCGGGGCCATGGCCACAGAAGGTTGAGGTTGTGGGGCATAAGGGGGTGGAGCCATGATGGGGGCAGGGGCTGCAGCTGGGGGGCGGGCTGCTGGGGGGCGGGCTGGTTGACTCTGGGGAAAAAGTAAGTTAAATATTAAATCAACGTAATAAAATATTCCAGATATTACAATTTTGTGACCTTCAGATGAAACAATTGTTCGCTATTGTGGCATGCAAAAAGACAGAAACACAAAAACTTTGATTAATCTGTTACTCATTATGGTGTGATTTGTTATATGTGATGTCCCACTGAAAATCACATCAACAGCTAAAATCTAGCAATTCAATTAGGAAAAAGACATTTTTGCAAAATGCTGCAACCAACAAGCATGGAGCGCTGTGGTCAAATGGTCACAGTGTTCAACTCGCGTGCCATGGTACATGGGTTTGAACCCTGACAGGGAACCTGGTGCTTGTGTTCTTGGGCAAGACACTTTATTACAATTGCCTCTCTCCACCCAGGAATATAAATGGGTACCTGTGAAGGTAGAGACTAGAATGCACTAATCTTGAGCTGCTGCAAAAACTGATCTCATGGCCTGATGAACAGGGATAATACTTGTGAAGCGCTTTGAGACCTTTGACATAAAGCGCTCTATAAGCACCACATTATTATTATTATTACTAAACAATCTTAAAGGCCACGTCTAAATGACTTGGCTACGGCCAGTAATTACACATGCAACAATGGAAGCAGTAGCCATAGCCAAGTAAATCGATCGCAGCCTATGGTACATGTAACAAGACTCACATTTGCATTTTTGACCTCAATGAGTGCGGACTTCCAGGTCTGGCTATCGTCCAAGGAGTCAGTGCAGAACATCATGTTGACCTGGTGAGTCCGCAGCTCAAGAAGGCAGCTCTTCACTTTGCCAGGCGGAGGACACCCTACACTGATCTCTTCCCCACACTAAAATGTAAACAAACAAAAAATCAAATCAAATAACAAAAACAAATATATAAATAACTATGTTTATACGGCAGAGATGTTATTGTGATTGGTTCTATCTGCCTTGCGCCGAAATGGCTGCATCGAGCTGTATACTCCCCAGGGAGCTGAGTTGGTATTTGGAATGTTCATTGACCCAATGATCAGGGGTAATAATAATGTAAAGCGCTTTGATGTTAGTTAAAAGTGCTATATAAGTTCCTGTTATTATTTATTTATTTTAACAAAATAAAAATAAAGGTGTCCCTGATCTCTACATGGCCAAAAAAAAAAATCTTGCATGAGATATATTACAAATCGTCCAATTCCAAGTCAAGTCGTAAGTTATTCCAATGCATTGTGACAAAACATTTCGTTGTCATCTCCGTTTGACTTGTGAAAGGACTTGTGATTTACTTCTGACTGGCTTTGTGATGCACTTGTGATGGCCTGGACTACATTACTGCATAGCATCCTAAATGTTGTAGCTTGGTCTCTGACTTACGTTGACAGCATAGCAGCTCTTGGTTATGTTGACGCTGCCTTGTTCCTCTTGACGATTCTCATCCTTGTAGTAGGTGAAGTTCCCGTTTCTGTACAGGACACAGAAGCAGTTCTTCCATCTGCAAAGGATTTCACCTAAGGACAGAAAAACAATTGAACTTATCCACATCCAAACGGGGATGAGGCAATCAATAGCAAACAAGTGAATGCTTAAGCAACTCAATTCAAAGATTCAAAGATTGAGATTGCCTCAATTCAAAGATTTTTTTTTTTTTTTTAAATTCTTCTGATAACTTACTCTGCCGTAGCATCCATGAGGCCTTAGCTACTCCGTGCGACCTGGCGGCTTCCAAGCTTGCCATTTGTTCCTCAAATTTTACTCAAAACCTGAATAACAAAAGTACCGATTACAAAACTGAGTTGACAAAGATGCAAAATACATTAGAAAATTGGTGCACGCACATACATAATACTAGAACAGAGAACCGCAACTCAGTTGGCTATCCGGTTCGTTAGTGTGACGTCACCTCCAGCACTTTCTGCACGATTGGAACCGGAAGTTAACGCAGCCCGAGCGTTTGCAGCCAATGGGCGCTAGTAATCAGGGGTGTGCGCGCGTGTATAACGTTTTTACTAACGAACCGGATGGAGTTTAGGGGCAAAATGTACAGCAGTTTTCTAGCACTGCAGACCTATCGAATGTGTTGTTTTCTGTACTGTATTGATGTGGTTACACTAGTGCATTGTTCGTGATGATATATCTTCTATGGGGCCCCACTTACATGTAACTTGCGTTCTAGGCTAAAAAAAGAAGGCGTAGATACAAAAGCATGTACGGACTTGCTTGTTGAACGGAACTCGTAGGAGTTCTGCGAAAACGAGTTCCATTTTCACAAGCACATCACGTTCTTTTTCATGCCCAACCGAAACAACAGACTGTGGAATCTCTTACTAGTCCTAGTCCTACCCAAGAACAATTTGGAAAGATTCCCATATCTGGCCATTGCTAATTTTTCCCTTCACTTCAGTGACCTATCAGCCATAAGAAAGTGATTAATTGTCCTAAAAAAACCAAATCTAGCAGGGAAAATACTGAAGTATTTACTGAGAAAACACTTAAAAATTTTCAGACCAGTCTCATAGGGTTTGTGCACAGGGTGACAAGTGATGGCCAGATATGGGAAATTGGGAATCTTTCCAAACTTTTGTTTTTAATATTGCCCTTCAACAATACATGTAGGCCCTACCAAAAACAAAACATCCAGTGTGTCTTTTTGGATGATGTTCATTTTTGGGGAAAAAATGTTGCAACCTGACACCACTTTTTTCTTCATATATCATCTCAATGAAGGTCATTCATTGCAAAACCGATAAGACATGCATCTGGGACTGAGAAACATTTCCAATTTTGTTAGGAAATAAAAATTGTCTTGACTCTCCATAGACTTTGTACACAATCGCGGAAGTGGCGTCAGGTTGCAATTTTTTCCCCATTTTTTGCATCAAAATTTACACTAGGCCAGTAGGCCTACCTGTTTAGGAAAATGGATGGTGTCACCATTTATATTTATAGCTCCATGGTGCCCGGCCCACACCGCTAGCACGTCGGTACGCCCTCCACCCTCCCCCCGCCCGGCCCCGCCCCCTTTATTAAAATGGCAACGTAAACACAGTCACAGAACCACATCAACGTTACGACATGAATTACATCGACAAACGCCATGAACGCTGCAATATCTTGCCCCAAAAGGATGACATTGACGTCTATATGCTACGTAAAATAGTAATCGTACCTTTATTTTTTTTCTCTGCGATTAAAGCAAGTTATTTCGAAGATAATTCAGCCAGGTTACTTCCTTCCGAAATCTAGTCGTTCGCAAAAATGTTAACTAACTAGCTGCGAGTTTCAGCTGCGTGTGTACGTACGTACGTACGTACGTACGTACAGAGATCAACGGATTGATCGAACGTAACGACGCGTAAGATCCCGTGACCACTATTTTTCACTGCGCTTGCGTAGTTCTATAAAAAGAAACCGCGTAATCATTATTTAATACAAACTTAATTTATTGTTTGATATAAACACAAATTAATTTTATTGATAATACAATTTTAATCTTTTAAAATAATTATAACAGTGAAAGTGTTTATGTATAATGCTATATATTCAGATATATTTATGAAATATTATATTGGATTAGCCAAAAACTGTAAATTTTACAACGAGGCTTATTTGTCAATAAAAAAAATGAGAAGATAAAACATGTAAAAAGGCCAAGGACGAAGACTTTTTTGCAGACGACGCTGACGTCACCAGCTTTACACGTGATGATTACCGAAAGCGAATAGTTCTAGTTCTGTTCCTTTTATGTATGCAGGGGCGACTTAGCACGGTCATTTTTATTGGGAGGGGGGGGGGGGGTCAACATTTCTTGAAATGGGTGATAATTATACCTAATTATTAAGGGCACTCATGCGGAGGGGGGGGGGGGGGGGGGGCTGTTACCATCTGTCGATGGGGGCGCTATTCCAAACCAACGATTATGTATCACTGTACTAACGGACATTATGCTTCTTTTTCGGGGCCAATAAATACGTGAAATTAACAAAAAGGCACCCGGAACGGCCGATGGCACAAAAAGGGCACCACTTTGTAAAAAAAGGCACTTGTTCAGAACAATTTCTTTTTAAAAAAAGGGCACTGCTTACAAATTATTGGGGGGGGGGGGGTAATTAGTGCATGGATGATGGAGCCTTGGAGGTATTAATACTAATAGGAATTGCATAGAGCATGCATATACCATAGGCGTAGCCAGCGCCCCCCCCCTCCCTTGCTGGCTATGCCACTACGCCAAATCACATGACAACAATTTCAGACCATGACAGATTTTAATGCTTGTATAGTAATGTTTAAGTTAGTATAATAAGTCGTGTAATACTTCTGAAATCAGAAGGCTTCTCAACGGAGAGAATTAAGCCTTCTGATTTCAGAAGTAGTTGTGTAAAGGCTTACTTCATCAAACACAATGAACTAATTCCCCGAATTACCAAGATTACTGGATACAAACACACTTTAAAGAATGTATCTTTTTTCAATTATTAGCAGGAAAGAATGATGCTTTCGGACAGCCCTGGCAAGAACAGGATGCTGATATCAAGTTGTTAGGAGCGTGTTTGGAAGAAGAATGGGTGTGCGCTGTTTCCTAGGACAGTTTTACAAGGCACATGTTGCCAATCTTGGCATATCCAGGGTGCAAGTAAGAGCAATTGGATCAGCTGGTTCTTCCGGTAATGCGTTCCTGACAACGCCAATTTTCTATGTTAATGCAGGTGAGAGAAAGTTGGCTTTGCTTGCCTTTTTTTGGCCCAAAAGCTATCTGTGTACATCCTTGTCAAACTTTAAAATCATAGAATTAGAAATGAGATTTGGCTGTGTGACAAAATTTTATTGTACAATGAGATTATGAATAGGCGATAACTGGCTGTTTCAGCTTAGCAAAAAGTTTTAAGCTTATTTTTGAACAACTTTTTGTGCTTAGCAGTGCCATGAAATTGGTCCCTGGTCTTTCTATTTGTATATCCAGTCCCGCACATTGGTCATTTGTACTCGGCTCTGATCGCTGACTGCGCTCACCGGTGGCAGCAGAATACGGGTGCCAAGGAGACCATCTTCGCGACGGGTACCGATGAGCATGGATTGAAGGTGCAGCAAGCAGCGTCGTCAGCCAAGATGAAGCCACAGGAATACTGCGACCGGGTCTCGCGGGAATTTCGAGTTAGTAAACTGAGGCAGCTTTAAATCCCACCTCTGATCAAAAAGAGAATTTAAACTTTTGTGGAGTGCTGTGGCCGCCTTGTCCATCTTGAGCATCCAATATCGGTGGATAGTCCTGCTGAGTGTGGGTTTTGATTCCAACGTTTGGGCTTGTGGTGCGTGTGTCCTTGGGCAAGACACTTTGTCACAATTGTCAATAATTGCTTCTCCCCAACCTGGAGAAAATGTGTACCTGAAACACAGATGGTTATTGGGTATCGGTCATTGATGAATTTCAGTCTTGTTCTGACATTGGCAAAGTTTTTTTTTCATTTTGTTGTCTTATGGTTTTTCTTCTTGGGGTACTTTTTCATTTCAGAGACTCTTCACAGAAAGTAATGTCAAGTGCACGGACTTCATACGCACCACTGAAGTGAGACACCAAGAAGCAGTCAATCACTTCTGGGTAAGTTGTAGACGGGATGATTTTGTGTCATCAAATAAATTCAAGTTTTCCATTCAGTAATAAACATTTTGTTTTCCCGTCATCCACCTTTCTATGACCTGGATCTGATTCTTACCAGTGCCACTTAGTATAAAACATTTGCTTTCTTCAGTCTTCAGAACTGGGAGCTAACATTAGGGCATCTGCAAAATAATTTAAATTAAAAAAAAATTTTAATTAATTTTTTCTCAAGACTATACTGCAGGAACGAGGCCACATCTACAAGGGCAAATATGAAGGTTGGTACTCAACATCAGATGAGACTTTTCTGAGCACTCAGCAGGTACGCGACAGCAACGCTCAAAATGGAGTGAAGGTTGGTATTTCTCATTGTCGATACAGTGCAAACTACCGGGTTGCTCTGACAGGTTTCTACCGAGTCAGAGTTGTTGTCATCACAAGTCCATCTCAAGCTAAGTCGCAAGCTATTCAAATAAACAGTGGCAAAGCAAAGGCATTCCTTTGTTATTGTTTACTCCCTGTTACTTGTCACTGGACTTGACAGTTGACTTTTGATGTACTTTGTGACATGACTGTGTTGTATGTGTGACACATCACATGTACCTTGACTGTAACACTGATCACAAGTCCTCTGAGTGACAAGTTATTCAAGGGAACCGCACCAGAAGCATTCCTTTGTTATTGTTCATCCCCTCTTAGTTGTGATCTGGCTTGTGATTGACTTGTGATCAACTTGTGATTGTCCTTCTGATGGACCGATCTACAACGCTTCATTTGCGATGCTTACTTTAGAACCTTGCATTTAAGTCAGTTATCAATTCATCAATGTCATCCCAAGATAACTATATTTTTGTCAGGTCTGTACAGAGACAGGGAATCCTGTGGAATGGACGACAGAGACCAACTACATGTTCAGACTGAGTGAGTTTCCTCCTAGACTCCTAGAGTGGCTAGATAATAACCCTAGAGGTAAGTAGTGTACAAGAGTTTGGTTAAGCTACAATTAATTATTTTGAAACTATTTTAGACTAAATTAGTTAGAATTTTCAGGACATTTTGTCTGTGCACCCAGTTAGAGCTGGGAAACCATTTTATTGAGCTTCTGGATACAGAAATTTACTAAGCACAGAAAATATTTGATGAGCAAAAAGCAGGTTACCAGCCAAACAGTCATGTGATGCATATTGCTTCTGACTGGTTGTCGGCTGATTTTTGCTTGGCACATAAATCTGCTGAGCAATAAATATCTGGTTTGCAGTTTCCAGCTCCATGATGTTTCTTCATTGCACCCACTAATTTTCTTGAATTATTTCATGGTGCTTTTCTGCTTTGTCCAGCGGTGTATCCAGCCAAGTTTCACACCATGGTGCGTCAGTGGCTGGAAGACGGTCTACAAGACCTGTCTGTATCCAGGCAACGGGACAGGCTACAGTGGGGCATCCCTGTTCCCGGCGATTCGTCACAAACGGTAATAAGCATTCAAATGTGCCCACAGTGTGGAAGACTCCATCATAAGTCTTGTCACTCACAGGTCGTCCAGTCCAGGCTTAAGTCAACTCACAAGCTTTCAAGTGAACTGTGGACAAATGCATTCCTTTGTTATTGTTCATCCATTGTTAATTGTGACTGGACTTGTGATTTCCTTGTGACTTGAAGCATCTCGTATTATTCATGCATGCAGTCCATATTGCTTTAAAATGGTTTTAATATTTTCATGTTTTCAATCAAATGCAATCTTCAGATCTACGTCTGGCTGGATGCTTTAGTCAACTATTTAACAGTCTGTGGCTTCCCTGGACAGACCAACCTATGGCCGGCTACTCACATCGTTGGAAAAGACATCCTCAAGTGAGTCAAATCTAAAATCTGATTTCCATAATGCAAGTATTTCTAACTTTGTAAGGAGCTCTAGCATGCACTCATCAGTATCCTTAAATAAGAATAATAAGAATAATAATAATAATAATCATTAAACATTTATACCGCGCACTTATCTGTCCAAAGGACACCCAAGAACAGTTTGTTGATCGCTGTATGAGCAGACACATTTCTGACCAGCGAGTTTTGTCTAATATTTCATCTCTACTCTCAACAATAACTTCTTTATCAGGTTCCATGCAATCTACTGGCCGGCATTTCTATTGGCTGCTGGGTTGCCGCCGCCGCGGTCCATAGTTTGCCATTCTCATTGGACCATGGACAATTTCAAGGTATTCAGTATACAAAAAATCTGCTCCATTCAAACATTATGTCCACAATTATAACCATCTGTTTCTGTTTCATCTTTTTCAGAATGTTCAGACTGGCGTTCAGGAGTTGCGCCAACCAAATTATTCGGAAATTTTAATAAAAATCCACTGTTACAGTCATTAAGAATGACTCGAGAGTCAAGTCTAGGCAATAGAAATTTAAAAAAGGAAATGTTCGCCTGACTGAAACAAAATCTATTTGGATTGCCCTGTGTTGCTCTGAATACTATTTGGTTTGGCCTAGTGAAATATTTTTCTTTTTTCTTCTTCTCATTTCTCAGATGTCTAAGAGCAGGGGTAACGTAGTGGACCCCTTTGACAGGCTGAGGACCTACACTCCAGATGGCTTACGCTACTTCCTGCTGAGAGAGGGCGTCCTTCATTCTGATGGAGGTACCAAAGCTAGGACTGCATTCAGATGATTTGGCTGTGGCTAGCAGTAACATATGTGTCCATGGAAAGTGGATATGCAGCTTCCATAAGACGTGTGTTGCTGCTAGCCATAGACTGAGGCAGCCTTAGACTGTGTTCAAATATAGCAAATGCAACTCTTTCCATCTAAAGAAGCCTTTAAGTGTTAACCACTCTGGCCATCTAAGAAAGTCTTTTGTAAATTTGTTGACCATGAACAGGTAACTCGATGCTCAACTCTGATTTTGAGTGCCATCTTGTCACCGAACCCAAACTTGTGAAAATATATTTATTAATTTTTTTTCTTCAGATTACACTGATGAGAAAGTCCTCAAGCTCCTGAACGTTGAGCTGGCCGACAACTTGGGCAACCTGTTGTCCAGGGTGACGGGCAAAGCACTCAACCCAGCCCAGGTCTTCCCACAATTCCATGCTGAACTTTTCCCGTGGCCGCAGACATATACCACTACGTCTGGGAGGGCCTCTTCAGAGGATTATGCTCTTGTATCAGCCTTGTGTAGGTTACCAGGTATGATGCAAAAATCTGTTCTCCATTTTAATATAGTATATGTAAAGGTAATTTAACCATTTTGATTGGTCCAAAGCCTGTCCCGTTTGGGATTTTTAAACCAATATTTTGACAATGCTAAGAGATTTTTGAAACCAGTCGGCAAAAGAGTCGTCTGTGAATCAGGACAATGAATTTTCAGGACAACAAGACAGGATAATCTGCCTGGTTGTCGATATAAATGTACCCCACATGTTGCTTGGTCTGATTTTAAAACTCAAGTTTATGAGTGGTCCATTACTATTTTATAGCCTAATTAAAACTAAAGTTCAGAGATTGTGTTGGTTTGAGGTTGCTCACTTCAGTCAACTTTTATCATGCTGGGAATATATTTCTCTATCGTTTGATTGTTACTTTTAGAATCTGTTGATGTCCACTACAACAACTTTGAAGCGTACAAGGCGCTAGATGAGATCATGTCGTGCCTTCGACAGGCCAACGCATTTGTCCAACGACACGAACCATGGAACCTCATCAAAAGCAAGGATGACCAGCCCTGGTTGGAGACGGTCCTCCATGTTGCCATGGAAACACTGAAGATTTGTGGGATACTTCTCCAGCCTGTCGTTCCTGACACGGCCGATAGATTGTTAAGTAGACTCGGAGTGGATGCCAGTGACAGGACAGTGGCCAATTTGGAATGTTTTGCGGGGACGTGCAAGAGCAGACCACTTGGGAGGGATCCAGGTGTACTGTTCTCCAGACTGAAGCCGAAGGAGCAGAGTTGACCAATTTGGAATCAGTGACCATTTACAAATTAGTGACTGCTTTTTACGAGTTTGTGCTCACACTTGACTTACTCTCCAGACTGAAGCTGAAGGAGCAGAGTTGACCAATTTGGAATCAGTGACTGTTTGCAAATCAGTGACCGGTTTTTTTATGTGTTTGTGCTCACACTTGTCTTGCTGTCCAGACTGAAGCCAAAGGAGAAGAGTTGACCAATTCAGAGTCAGACACCATTTACTGTTAACTACTGACTTATTTGTGAATACACAATGACTCTTCAAGACTTCTACTAAATACCTTATAATTTGCTCCAATTTTGTAAGGCTACCTTTGTGACAATAAAATGTCAAGTATTAAGATATTGTGTCTCTCAAAAATCCTTTTACCCTGTGCTGCATTTTATTTGCAATATTACAATATTTTCCCAATGATCCAAAGAACTAAGATTAAACCTGAGCCATGATTATTGCAGAGCAAACTTCTTGTAAGTGTATTTTCTTCAGTTTCACTTCATCTGTAGTAAGCTTTAAATACTTTATTGGGTTTTTTTTTTACTAAGAAACCGATGCGTTGACACTATTGCCTTTTGTTGCATTCACGAAACATGCAAATGTTAATTTTACAAAAGTTCCTTTCAAGCAAAAGGAGATATTTATATTTCACATGCACGATAAAGGCCCTCCGGTGGAAAATTGCAAATCAAACTAATTAAATCTAAGGAATCCATTACTGTACATATGACCTGATATAAAGGTAAAAATTATCGACTTTATTGACTGAAGTATGTGTTCTCTGGTTCTGCATTATATTATTTTGTTCCATCCCATTTTGACCTTCGCCACGCCCCTTTCATTCCACTCGACTACCGTTAAAACTAAATAGCGCCCTCTTGTGACAAAAATCAGCGAAAGTGATTTTCACTGGTGTCAACACGCATGAGTTGCTCACCGGCAAAAATGGGTTGCCGAGTACCAGTGAAAACTTATTGGGTGGTCTTTCAAAACAAGATTGGAAGTTCAGATTTCTTTGCCACGTATTTCAATAAATTCATAAACATTTTAAATAAATATCCCATTTAATTATGCAAAAATGTTCAATAAAATTACACAGAAATGAAAAGTGGGAGATTCGTGTGAAAATGCTGGTAAAACATGTTAAATATCTGATTATTTTTGGGCGAGGGTGGTGAAAGTTGCTATTTTTGGACCACCCACGTGGAGTTAAAGGGAGTAAAAAAAATATCATTGGAACGCAGACGTTTGGGTTCAACTTCAAGATGTCGCCATGTTGAGAATGTTTTGTTTGGTTTAAACATAACATTTGTCTTTCTTATTCAGTGGATGATCGAAATTTACCGTGACTGATCGGATTCAGTAATATAGATTTCGAGACTCGAAGAATTCGCAAGGATATTTATGGACGGAGCTTTTGTTTTGTGGAATATACTCCTAGGACGTCCCGCCGCGCTGATTAGTAGGGGCATGAGGGGTGAGCATTTCCCTTTTTAATTCCTTATTTAAAGAAATTTGTACACGTATACAAATATTATATAGTAACAAAATGCAGGAACATAAGGCATGTTTCACCACGCGTAGGAAATGAATTGTATTTTGCTATACTGAAATTATAAAAATTAGACAACAACAGAAAGTAGACAACATGCTAGAAAATGTTATTCATTTGATGCATCCAAGCTGCGACAAATTCTATACACATACATGACATAGGGTGACATATAAAATATTTTTTAAACCTCAGAATGGGTTGGATTTTTTTCTCACAATCACCACATTGATTGCTTAAAAAAAAATCTGTGTAGTCTTTAATATCATTTGAACTTTTTCCAACAAGAAACATATATTTTCTCATTTTATTATAAACGTGTTACATAATAAAATAAAAAATTAAAAAATAGTGATTTTGAAGAAACAGTCCACAAATCATTATTCTAGAGATTTTTTTCTTGGAAAGAAAAAAAAGAAGTTTTTCAAAATGTTTTTGCCCAGGCATTGCCAGGACTATTTCGAACCAAAAACACAGTCGGGTTTTGTGATTTGTATAGATGAGGAATAAATCAAGTGTTTTTGTGAAATGATGCTGGTACTTTTTGGAGCGAGCCACATATTTTAAAATATTTTTTTCCTAACTCGGTTACTGTCTTTTTGACTCACCCTGTATTTGTTGGTGTGATGTGGAATCCTGTTTGTTTTTGTGGAGTCACTGATAAAAAGATGTTTTAAAATGACACGTATGTACCTTGACACAGTTTTGTTTACTTAACTGTTGACCCTATTTGCAAGATTTGCAAACTTTATGGAGGGGAGGGAAAATACAATTAACACTACTCCTCTCAGATTTTTGAAGAATTAAAGTGGATTTAAATGTTGACTCTTCCGTTGTGTGCGTAGTGTATTTCTATTGTTTCAAAATAAAGATGCAGAAAAATAGCTCATCGCATATTTATTGAAATTTATAAAAATTTCTATCAAGAAAAGTTGCTTCACTTGGTTCCAAACCCTGGACATCACCACCAGGGTGTCTCTATCTTGTGTACAATGTACATGTGCATATGATGTACAGGAAGGAATACAAAGACATTTTTTTTGTCAATTATTGTGCCATGTTGCTTGGTCAACAACACCATAAATGATGATCATCTTCTAATGACACATGCACATGTACATGTACATTTAGTAATACAATGTTTGTCTTGTCCTTGTATTTGTTGTAATATATTCATTTACAATTTAATTCCTCAAATGTTTTACAGGGGACTCGCACTCGACAAGCCTTGCTTCTTGCGGGTCCCCCCCCCCCCCCCCCATCCCTGCTTTATATTTCTTAACACCACGAAAATTGGTTTACTTTGTCATAGTTTTGTAGTATAAAAAGTGGCTAATTATTGTAGATATGTACCTATCTTGGATGGAAATAAAGTCAAGTCAAGTACAAAGACTTTTTTGTCAATTGTGCCATGTCCTTGCTCTATGCTTTGGTCAACAACACCATAAATGGTTATCATCTTCTGTTTTCTGCTGCATTAGACTCTTGGGATGCATTGCTGTGGTTTCACTAGCCACAGCTTCATGGTTACAGTTGCTATACAGTCTGTACATCTCATCATCATGGCTATTTTAGAGATTCGCCGAACTGCTTAACATCCGACTACAAGTCTACATTGTATTGAATGTGCGGTCAGTAGAGTACATGCAAAAGGATTGAACCATTGAGCTCATGATTCAGCCGTGCACCTTTTCAGATGCACGGATTATGCAGATACCTTATAGGAGCGGATTGTGAATTGTCTGGAGGGATTGTGTTTTGAGTGCAGTGAGGGGGATATAAAGGGGATTCTAGCGCATGTATTCTGAGCGACTTCGTTGTTAGTGATAGTTGCCATAACTGTGTTGGCTGACTTGTCTTTAAGATACATGTATATCTTCTGGGGTTATGTGGGAAGGTGTTATGCATTTCAAATGTAAATCTTTCAGCTAAAAGTATAGTAAAAACACACAAACCCTCGACCCCACCCCCAAAAGTCCAAATTGAAATAGTTGTATTATTCCTCTTTGCTCAATGTTGAAGGGTTAGTGTTGAAAATTGGCTTTTTTTTGTCCTCTGGCTGGCAAGCTTGTCAACAGTAGACCTACACTATACATCCCTTGTTTGAGTGATTGTGCATGGTCCACTTTGATCATAGCTCTGACTTGGCATGCACGCTTGGCAAGTGGATTGTTGGTTTGTGGTGACTCTTTGGGAAGGATCTTATTCAAAATACTTACCAGGTTATAATGGTGTAAAGTTTCTTCCTAAGAAAGATGCCCAAAAGACACATTTTTACCCCACCTGTGGGCCTACTTCTATCAAAGTTTCTTTCAAGTAAAAAAAATAGAGTGGCGTGATATTTCTTCCTTAAGCAAGGACTTCTTCAAGGGCAAAAAAAATCTTCAAATTTCCAGAATCGTATTTAATACATGGAAGAAGGATCTCAAATGGTGCATTTACATTCTCCGCTGCACGTGTTTTGAGTGCCTTTGATGTCAAATGTAAAAATTGAAGCACAAAGGTGCATGCATCAAGAAAGTCCATCATGAATTAAGTTTTCTAATTAAAAAATGTGCTGTATATGTAAGCCTGCCAAACCATGTTTCTAAATACATGTACAGAGTATGGAAAAAACTGATTGAAGTATGTATTGTGATTTTAGTGTTGGAGGAAATTGACATTTTATGGGTCACATTGACTGCCAGCAAAGTCAGGGCAACTCTGTTTAGTCATTTTATTGTACAATGCTCAAATCAAAGAGAAATGTTAAAATAAAGAATCTTGCGCTTAAATTTAAAGAGTTGAGTGATCCCTGGTGTGGATTTGTCTCCCCATGGAGCCTCTCCCTATGAAAACTCGAAAATCTTGGCTTGTAAACACAGGTATAATTGCTATATTATAAGTGAAGGAAACAGCAGCATATAAGTTGAATCAATTAATATTCCAGGAAAGGTTAAAGGCGGACAGACATCTGTTTTAGCGTAATACCAGTAGCAATTGAACTTGTACTAAGTAATCAATTTGCGTAATACCAGTAGCCCTTGATGTAATACAAATTTGATACAATGTGCTCATTATGTATAGCCTGTGCCTTTTCTCATCTTAAAATTCTGGGGGTATAATTTCGTTGTGCGCGATGCGAGATTCGATTTTGTTGTGTAAAATGCTGTGTACAGTACATATGTGGAATCAACTTTAAATAGGTCTTGTAACTGTTTATTTATTTATTTTTTGTAAAAAGTAATGAAATTTGTAGCTTGTTTGTTTAAATTTTGTTTTCGAAACCGCGACTTTTTAGGGAAGGGGTTGTGTTTATTCAAAGAATTGCCGCTTTTTTCGAAGGTCGGCAGAGCACAATGCCTAATCCGATTTCAATGTGTTGTCGGTTTGGCGCGGCGCCTGTATGTAAATCGTCGAGCGGTGTGTTGCACACGGCACTATTGTGACACGTACGCGACATGCATGAAGTCCCGCCCACTGTTCAAATGGTTCTCTCACGTCCGTATTGCTGTAATATAAATTCTGAGCGAAAATGTAAAGGTCATTCGATTCAGTTTCGACAACGAACAAGAAATCTATCAAACATGTCTGGACGTGGCAAGGGAGGAAAGGGACTCGGAAAGGGAGGCGCCAAGCGTCATCGCAAGGTTTTGCGTGACAACATCCAGGGTATTACCAAGCCCGCTATCCGCCGTCTGGCCCGCCGTGGTGGTGTCAAGCGTATCTCCGGTCTGATCTACGAAGAGACCCGTGGTGTCCTCAAGGTTTTCCTCGAGAACGTCATCCGTGATGCCGTCACCTACTGCGAGCACGCCAAGAGAAAGACCGTCACCGCCATGGATGTGGTCTACGCTCTGAAACGCCAGGGCCGTACCCTGTACGGATTCGGCGGTTAAGCTGCGAAGCTTTTCATATAAAACAACCGGCTCTTTTCAGAGCCACCACATATTCAAAAAAGAGAAAGAAATCATGCTGTGAATGTCTCCGTGTTTCTTTATTTAATTTAAATTTTAACAATGTCTAAATCATATAATCATACTAGGCCTATATAAATTATTTGGATGACCGTCCGTAGCCCCCTTAATTTCCATAGGTGAATATTATTTATTATAATTATGGCAATAGCCTAAGTGGTCGGGGAACATGGGGAAGGGTCCTTTTACTAGTTACTACATGTACATGTATTTCAATGGCACTACCCATACCGGTACATGTACATTCAAGCTTTTTTTCAATGCTGAATAGGCCTAGGTCTAATTAAAATTAGGAAATGAAAGGCCTGTGCTGTGTGGAAAATCGTGGATTTGGGTTATTTAATTAGAATAGGACTTGAGGAGTGTTATGGAACCAACTTGGGAATAATTTGGACGGAGATATAACCTATGGGAAAACAGATTTAAAAAAATGGGAATGACATGGATACTACCATGGAGCTATTAAAAACACATACTAGTGAACGTAGGGTAAGAATGAAATTGAATAATGATTGCACACAGGATAGGCCCTACTAAAGAAATCCCTTGGAAGTTGGAAGGAACATGGGAATCAGGAAAGAAAATGCGAACGAGACTTTTGAATGGAACGAACACGGGAACTTTTGAACGAACATAGTCATTTTACTTTTTAGTATAATATGTATTAAGAATGTGAACGAGCAATGGAAAAAGAAATTGGAACTAGGGTTGGAATAAGAAAATGGAAAATGTTAACTTACAATTACAGTATGGAAATTGAGGGAATATATGGCCTTGGGAAAAAGAAATGGAATCAACATGGGAATGAGAAATTTGAATGAAAATGAGAATAAGAAATGCGACTAAAATGTGACAAAAAGAAATTGGAAAGAACGTCGGAATATTTAGGAATTCGAATGAACACTGATATCGCATTGATTTTCTTGGCCGTCACAAAATTAATACTTTGCTAGGCCAGATGATTAAAATACATAGACAAATTGTAGGCTACATGATTTCATTTGGTATTGGTCTCATGGTGATTTCTACTTGCTCGGAAAAGTTACACTTGTCTTCAATAAACACCAGCAATTACTCATTCAGTGTCATTGTCAACCATTAGGTTTGATGGTTATTTTTTTTTTCAATCAACTGAATTTAGATCATACTTTTTTTCATACTTTTTTTCTGTGTACATTATACATGTACACACATAACATTTTACGTACACGTATATGCACACGTTGAGAAAGGCGGGAGATTCTAGCACCAGCCAGGCAGCCAATCGCTGCCGTCACAGAACGGACCAATAGCAACGCGTTACGCTGTCCAATCAGGACCGTTCGTGGATGGACCAATAAGAAGCACGGATCGCCGGTGCGGGCGAATCCCGAAACTCCTATAAATAGCGAGCGCGAAATTCGGTTGAGCATTCTATCTGTTGCAGAAAAACTGAAGCAGTGATCATCAACAATGGCTCGTACCAAGCAAACCGCCCGTAAGTCTACCGGAGGAAAGGCTCCCCGCAAGCAGCTGGCCACCAAGGCAGCCCGCAAGAGCGCCCCAGCCACTGGCGGAGTCAAGAAGCCTCATCGTTACAGGCCCGGTACCGTGGCTCTCCGTGAGATCCGTCGCTACCAGAAGAGCACCGAGCTTCTGATCCGCAAGCTGCCCTTCCAGCGTCTGGTCCGTGAGATCGCTCAGGACTTCAAGACCGAGCTGCGTTTCCAGAGCTCTGCCGTCATGGCCCTGCAAGAGGCCAGCGAAGCTTACCTGGTCGGCCTCTTCGAGGACACCAACCTGTGCGCCATCCACGCCAAGCGTGTGACCATCATGCCCAAGGACATCCAGCTGGCCCGCCGCATCCGTGGTGAACGTGCTTAAGAAGTGACTTCACCTCCCAAAATAAAACCAATCGGCTCTTTTCAGAGCCACACAAATTCAAAAAAGAGATTTGAATTTAATGTCTGTTTTTCACGATTTCGTCCTTTAAACCCCATGAAAATAAAACGTTATAACTTGGGCCAGGCCTTGCTTTTCCCCATGGCCATGCCATTTCTCAAATATCTATAAAAAAAAAATTAGGTAGCCTACACAAGCCTACAATTTATACAATGTAGTACAAACCATGAATAAAACCCAAATACTACGAAAATAGGCCTGTATTTTCTACACGTACAATGTACATAGAACTTGTAAATAAATGCTTCCTACGGCAATGCATCGTACTAGCTGTATGACCCTACAAAAAAAGTACAATCTATCCAACTCCTCTCAGTCCTCTGTCCATTTTCCCCTTATCCGATCCACATCTCTTACACATTCAGCATGTTCTGTGGAATTGCAAACTGTTTTTGTGACAGTGATAAAACTGCACTTGATTTTCTTCCTGCTTATCTGAAGCTGTTAGTGTTACTCTATTTTATAGTCAAAAATTGTTTTTAATGTACATAAATGTACATGTACACGTGTATTTCGATAAACAAGCCAAGTTTTGCTTACAAAAATTATGAAACATAAACCCATCCTCGGCCTCCGTGGTCTCCTCCAATGAAAGTGAGCCCTCTCTTGACTGTCTGTGCTCTGTCTGGAATCCATTCAATTTGAAAAAAAGTAAGGGGGGCTTTCAACATCGTCAGCCCCCCCCCCCTTACAACTTGCTCTTCATACTTCATAGCCACAAAAAAGCATCGTACAACTGTTTGATTTTTAGGTACATTTGAAATAAGATTTAAACAAAAAGCCACTGGGATAAGTAGATAATGTCAAGACATTTGGATTGCCCAGACATTTGGATTGCCCTTTTGTAACATTCATCATTTACATTCATCATTTACATGTATCTACACAATGTGCATGTACTTAACATGGCTAAATCTGTATTTTTGCTCTGCAAAACAAAGTGGATAAGGCTAGTAACAAAATAAATTGAGGGCATTTTTAGATACATGTAGCACCTAAAATAGAAAACACCACTCAAGTTCGCTGAATTATTCTTAAAGAATAATGAAATTGAGATAATCTTGGGCGGGGTCCTGCCTTTGTTTAATCTGCTGCTGCATTTGATCGTGAGTGACTTATTGATTTTCATAATTGGATGTTTGATGTTACATGTACATGTACATGTATCAAGAAACTGTGCTATATTGAGCATCCTGTACCAAAACAAAATGAACACAAGTTATGATAACATTTTTTTCTCTCTTTTCTTTCTAATTTTCAGAACTGATGATGCCACCAACACATGCGTCTCATTTTTGAGAATGGAACTTGTGAAGAAAATGCAGTGACAGTGACAAAAGAAACCGGCAAAGTTGCAACCTTCCCAAAACGGTTCTCTTCCCTGATGCAAGGGAGCACAGCATGCACAGCCACCTCATTTACATATAAGTAGTATCTGACCCCCAATATGGCGTCCAGTGATGAAGAATCACTCAACTCATCCAGCCCGATGCCAGTGGCATCCAGGCCCAACGCCAACTCAGATGTCCCGGACATCGCCACAACGGCCATCCATGCCACGTCTCTGGGACTGATCTTTCTGATCGTGTGCTTCCTGAACTTTCTCGTCGCTTTCACCTTTCACAAAAAGGCCTACCTGGTCACATCCAGCAACCGTTTCGTCTTCAGCCTGGCTCTGTCCAACTTCGTCGTCGGGGCGGTGGTGCTGCCCTTCAACATCATGAGCTGCCTCTGGAGGGAGTGGATCTTTGGGGTCATGTGGTGCAATCTGACGGGGTTTGTCACGGTGTCTATCACCACTGGCAGCCTGTTCACTTTGACCATTATTACTATTGACAGGTAAGATGGTAGAGGAGGTTTTTATAAAATGTTCTCCTTTTTGGAGTTTGTGTCTTGGGATATTTCTTATTGGCATATTATTTCTCTTTGTTACCTTTTCGTAACAGTTGTAGTTGAGGCCAATGGTAGATAGGGACAGAAATCAATTTTTGAAGATCTGATTTCCAAAAATGGATAATTTTATGGAAATTATAGAAAGTATTTTGCAGGTTGCACTGTTGCTCAGATTTTGGACTGATCATGTTGTAAAGGGACTCAATATAAAGTGATGTAAATGCATGTTTCTGTTTGCTCCTCGTACATCAAATAGGCCAGTGCCAGCAAGTGGGGGGGGGGGGGGGGGGGGGTGGGTGGGTGGGTATTTCCCTAACAGTCCTGAATCCTCCAATTTCAATATGATTTTGCACACCCCCTAGGGAGTTACGGTTAAGGGATATACACAATTATTACCGTCATTCTCTCCAAGTACATTTATTCATTGGGGGACCAAAATTTAGGGCAAAATTCATGAGTATCAATTTGAGGAAAAATGTCCCCTTCCCCCTATCTCTCTCAGTTTACAAGTAGGTGACAGTAACCTCATTATATTTAAACTATGTGTACTTTTAAACAAATCAACTTTGTTTCTGTACAGGTATTTTGCAATATCGCAGCCCATGATGTATCCCACAAAGATAACAAGTATGCGGACAGTTGAGCTGATCATTTTAGCCTGGATTCTTGCCGTAGTGTGTAGTCTACCTCCAGTCTTTGGCTGGTCGCAGTATCAGTATAGCATATTCAGATCCAGCTGCTTCATTAATTGGAGTAAGCATCCATCATATGCAATCTTCTTCACGGTTTCATGTGTGCTCGTCCCATTCCTCATCATATCTGGGTGCTATTTGAAGATTATACAAGTAGCCCATGTGACACGGAGAAGGGTCAGTAACGGTAATGTCGTCGTGACAGGAAACCTCAGGAACAGGCGACGGTCTCGTCGGACTTCCTTACTGGTCAATATACGCATGAGTTCACCGACTAAAGCATTACGGACAGTTGCGATTACAGTGGGTGCTTTTTTAGTTATATGGGGGCCCGTGACTGCGGAGTTGCTCTACGAGGCTTTCAATGGGTCACACGCTGTTCCTGTTTGGGTGCTGAGCTTGGTGACGTTACTGTGGTATGCGGGCTTTATCATGCATCCCTGCGTATATGCTGTCTGGAATCGCAGTATACGACGGGAGCTCCTGTCGTGGTTTTGCGCAAGGGGACGTTGGCTGGATGATGAGCAACCTTTGCTGTTTGTGGCAAGGAAGGAGTCACGTGCCGTCAGCATCAGTGGGAGTATAACGGACCTCAGTTATGCAGCTTCACTCCAAAGCAAGGCTAACGTGCTCGGTGCGATGGGTGCAGCTGGTACTCAGAGCTCAAGCAATGACTCAGGTGAGTGAGAGTTGATTTTATTGTTCTGTAGAATATGAAATATTGTACATTTGTACATGTTCAACTGCTCCAATTCCCTTCTGTGACTGCCCTCTATTTGCAAATCTCTGCCCGCTAAGCTCCCTCCACCCAACCCTACCCAGTCCTAGTACCCCCCCCCCCCCCCCCCCCCCCCCCCCCAGCCCCACCAACCCCCTACTTGCCAATAACCATGTTCGGGATGGTCTGGTCTGGTGTAGCGTGAATATCCAACTGCATGAAATATGGACTCACTGGTAGCATTGCGCATGTGTTAGTATGATAATATGCTATTTATGGGATAATATAATAGGAGCAGTGTTCTAGCCAGGCATCAAATAGCGCTAGCACCCGCTACGCTTTCGGAAATAAGCGCTACGCTTAAATCGCGCCGCTACGCTACCGCTACGCTATAAATTTTGGTTGCGAAAAAAAAAATATCTGCCGTTTGTTCGTATACAAGCGCAGCGACTTTGAGCATTGCGCACTGGCCGTACGACACAGCGAAAAATAAACAACGATCCCACCGCACGTACCCCGTACGATACCCCTACCGTGATGCTGCGCCACACGCATTCGCTATGATAGCAATAAGCACGTGCTGTTTTGTGCTGCGTAGATACAGCGCTCCGTACGGACGGACGTGGACCACACCATTTTGCGCTATCGGGTGTGCTTTCCTAAGGTCAATATTTACAAGCATTTTAACTGTTTTAAAATAATAAATAATACTTTTTATCAAGTCCGAAACATATAACTGTTTGAAAATAAGTCCTTCAACGTCGGAACATAATTTTCGTAAAGGATTTATTCGAGAAACGATGTCCAAAGAAAGGTTAAGCGCCCCTACGATATCAATGGATCCGTCCCAAAAGATGGCCGCACGTGAAGAATTCTTCTCAAAGAATGCCGCTGTCGAAAAATTGGATTTCTGACTACACTACTCGTTGCTGATAATAACAGTTCAATAAGTTTGGTAGTAAAAACGGATCTGTTTGTTGTTAGGACAAAACCAATCAGCAAGTATTGCAACAAAACAAGTTTTTTAGCGCTCCACGAATGCGTAGCTTTCTCAAATGCTGAGGGAAGTTTGGTCGCGTAGTTCGCCGGCTTAGCCGGTGTGGGCTGGCCCGCGCCGCGCCCGCACGCCGGGCCGGCCGGTGCCGGCCGCGGCCGGGATAGGAAGCAATTCCCGGTGATTATTTCTCATCGTCATTATCTACAATTATATTTTTTAACATAACAAAAATGAGATTTCTCCTTCACATTGTGTTGTAGCATATTGAAATTGCAATCGCCGACGACTTTTTATGTCTGAGAGTGAGACCTCCATGGTTTTACAATTTCTCTCCCTGCCGATCGGATGGTTTTAAAATCGGAACTACTGCTACTACGGCAGCGCTACACAACACAAGGCTTCTTGAAATATGAAATGGTCATGCGATTTGTTCTCACACTTATTTGACAAAGTAAATCCCAATTTTTTATAAAACATTGAGGAACTACTAAAAATGGTTAAACATCAAAAAGCATCGATCTTGGAACAACTAGTTATACATTGTAAACGTAATCTAAAATTTGAAAACAGAAGAAACTTTACAGGAGCAAGAGTATTAATCATTGAAACAAATAAAACAACATTTCTTATAATTTTAAACACTTCTGCTAAAAAAAATCAGGGGAAAGTGGCAGGGAATCGCCTCAGATTGCACCACAGAGCATCTAGAGTCCAAAATTTTTCGGGGCCCTTAAGCGGGCCCCGGACCCCACGCCGTAAGGGCTTCGCGCTCCGCGCTCGCATTCCGAAACAAAATTACCCCTACGCTATAATTTCACCCTGGCTAGAACACTGAATAGGAGAGTGACTTGTCACATGCGAGGGAATAACCAATAATAGGGAAAAGGAGTCAGATTTTTGTAGAAGTCGGATTTTCATATGGCACCAGACCAGTACATGTCAACTTCATATATACTGAATCAAGGCTGGTTTTTTAATACGCAAATGCAAATGTCAAGTGATTTGTTGAAAACAATCAAATTTATTTGGCTTAAATTATGAGATGATTATAAGATGTTCAACTTTGACAATTCCAAGTGCAAATATTAACTGTCGTGATGATACCTTTACGTTAATAAATTTACGTTATTATTGTTTTGTGTTCACCAGTAATTAGTATTGTAGTGACTGAGTATTTATACAAGCTTGTACTGAGTGCACACTGCAGAAAAGGGGGGGGGGGGCTGAAGGGGCCCATTTGCCACCACCCTTTTATTGTTGTTTTCCTTTCCGTGATTACTTTCAGACATTTTTACTTTCATCATTGAAAAATGATTATTGTGATTAATGTTATTGTTTTGTATTCACCAGTAATTAGTATTGTAGTGACTGAGTATTTATACCAGCTTGTACTGAGTGCACACTGCAGAAAAGGGGGGGGGGGGCTGAAGGGGCCCATTTGCCACCACCCTTTTATTGTTGTTTTCCTTTCCGTGATTACTTTCAAACCCCCAATATAGAGATGTTTTGTTTCCCCCCCCCCCCCCTCTTGTACTTTGTAGAAATGTTCATTTGTGCCTCATAGCTCCCCCCCCCCTTCCCAGCTCTAGTGACTCTATATCTAGCCCTATTCCTGTTTCAATCTAGTCGTGTACAAAATGTACATGTACATGTAGCAGTTACAGAACTTGACACAATCCAAATAAATAGAGATCATGTGCATTTTCATCTTTGCACAGAATACAACATATAGGTTGTAACTAGCTGCTAGGAAATAGTAGGAATAAACATGATTTTTGTTTACATCATGTTTTTGAAAAATGAAAATACATTTGAAAATCAAGTGTGATAAATTCAGACAACTCCCCAACCCTTTTCAATATTTCATTTTCTGATTTAGAACTGCATGCCTAAACCCACCCCCTGCCGAGTTTCAACCCAAGGGCCTAACAATATTTAGTACATTTATGTTTATTAAAATTTAAAGACACCCATCCTTTTATCATGTAGGCCTATAGGCCTAGGCTTTTAACCTGAATATCAAGCGACCGAAATTAAACGTTTATTAACTATTGAAAATAAAAAGGCCTAGGCCTACACAGACATGAGAATTTATTGACAGACACGAAATTCCATCTCTTTTTTGAAGTTGTGGTGGCTCTGAAACGAGCCGGTTGGTTTTTGTTGAGCTGAGGATTCAGCGTTTATTTGGCAGCCTTGGCGGTCTTCTTGGGCAGCAGAACGGCCTGGATGTTGGGCAGTACACCACCCTGGGCGATGGTGACACCGCTGAGAAGCTTGTTCAACTCTTCGTCGTTGCGGATGGCCAACTGCAAGTGACGGGGGTTGATTCTTGTCTTCTTGTTGTCGCGGGCAGCGTTGCCGGCCAACTCGAGGATCTCAGCGGCCAAGTACTCCATGACGGCGGCCAGGTAGACCGGGGCACCGGCTCCCACACGCTCGGCATAGTTGCCCTTGCGCAGGAAACGGTGAACACGGCCCACGGGGAACTGCAGACCAGCCCTGGAAGATCGGCTCTTGGCCTTAGCGCGTGCCTTTCCTCCTTTACCACGTCCAGACATGTTGATAGTTTGGTATTTTTTATACGTTCAACACAAATTAGAATGAATAAAAAATAGTGGCCGTCAGCCTATTTATAGTCTCGCGAAGGATCCAAGCACCGTCCAATGAAATGGCGCTGCACGTTGAAATCCCGCCCAACCTTTTGCACACGACACGATGGCCATACAAACTGTGCACGATCAGCTAGCGCTACATTGTGAAGCCTAGCCAATCCCGTTTGACATTCTTCAGCGGGAGCGCGTAGGATCCGTACCAGAATCTGTTACAGGATCCCTCATTTACATAGCAGTGTGTATAAAAACAGCAGGATTTGTGAGTAGCGTCATTCTGCATTTTGCGAACCAAACTAAATCATCATGCCTCCCAAGCCAAGTGGAAAAGGACAGAAGAAGGCCGGCAAAGCCAAGGGTGCGCCAAGCACCAACAAGAAGAGAAAGCGCAAGAGAAAGGAGAGCTATGGCATCTACATCTATAAGGTCATGAAGCAGGTGCACCCCGACACCGGCATCTCAAGCAAGGCCATGAGCATCATGAACAGCTTCGTCAATGACATCTTCGAGCGTATTGCCGCCGAGGCTTCCCGCCTGGCCCACTACAACAAGAAGTCCACCATCACCAGCCGTGAGGTGCAGACCGCCGTCCGTCTCCTCCTGCCCGGTGAGCTGGCCAAGCACGCCGTCAGCGAAGGCACCAAGGCCGTCACCAAGTACACCACCTCCAAATAAACGGTGTATACTGAACGACAATCAAACCAACCGGCTCTTTTCAGAGCCACTACAATTTCAAAAAAGAGATTAGAATCGTGTCTGTGTTATTTTTTTGCCTAATTTGTCGAGTCGATCGAACGCTAGTTAAGTTATAGATTCCACTTCCTTGACCCGTAGCCTATCACAAAATTATTACAAATAATCTGTAAGCCAATAAGTCTATCAATCTATGCTACAATGCAGTGTGGACTAGGCCTACTGTTTAGATAAAAAGGGTTCATGTTAAAATTTTGTCGCCGATCTTTCCAAATTGAAAATTAATTTCCGCTCCCACTCCCAGGGACCAAGTCTCACTCTCGGGTAGACCTCCCCCGACCCACGATGCGCCACACTCCGCTAGCCCTCTCATTCTCAAATCTCTTTCCGTTTTCAACCAAGTTCAAGGATTCATGACGTTAGCTTAGGCCTATTAAACCATTAATTATTTAAAGATAGAACATTTTTGGTACTTGTAAAGTGAGAAGAGCCGAAGGCTAGTACTATATTAATTAAGTGATATTTTTGAGAAAAAAACTCGCCGCCCTTGAGTTTCTATGCACAAATTGGGTGGGTTTTTGGGGGGGGGGGGTGCTGCAGCATGTCCGGGCCGGCTTTTGGGCTTTTGAAGCAATCGCAGAATGAGTAAATAAACACATGTATTTACTATTAACGTAATGTGGCAAGAACAAAATGATGTTGGCTGTCCGTTGATTAGGCCTATATTTTTAAAATCAATTTTTGGCGGACAGATTTTTATCCATAGATGTTCCTATACAAGATTTCTTCAAAAATCATTCTGCACACGTGTATTTCTGGGGTTTTTTTATTCGTTCCACACATACATAAGCTACTCTCCATTTTTATCCAAAGTATTAAAATTAAAACTTTCAAATACGTTATGGCTAGAACCACGCTGGAAATGTTCAAGCTAGGAATATTTATGAAAGAATTTGTTATTGAACATTCAGTTGCACGATTTTGCATAACGAATTCTAACAAAACACAAGGAAGTCGAAGAACCTATCATGGCTATTGGGGAATTATCCCTCAAACGTCAAAGCATAATAATAAAAAATACCCCTAGTTTTAATTTCTTTGTCGTTATGCGGCCTACGCATTAACGAAACATTTTTAGAGACGCGGCCACATTGACAAAGCAATATTGATCGCCAGTATGTGTACCTCCAAAAACGCGCCCATCCATCTCATGAAGCTGGTGTAGGGGATGCGATATTTGCTGTCAATCTTGCTTTTCATTGTGTGCGGTTTTGGATGCTCCTCATTCATTATGACATTAAGCCTTGCTCTATTCTTAAAGGGAATATACATCATTTGCTTTTGCTGTAATTTTCAGAAATGGATGGAATTGGGGGGTTGGAAATATATAGCAAATATAGTTACACTGACTTTTTTGAGGTTTTGGGTTCGAAAATGCTATAAAAACCAAGAAAAACGATCATTTTCCTGTAGTCTGGTTCCCTGACTCCACATAAGAAGAAACAGAGCAGTTTACATACATTGGGGAATTGTAAGGTCAGGGAACCAGTCTAGCTGGCTCGTACCCGTTCATAGGTTTGTAATCGATTGCAAACAAGTGCGATGGTCAATTGGGGCCAGTATTTGAAAAAAAGCCAGTTGTTTCCAACGCTGATCGGCCGATCAGCGTTGGAAATTGATACAAAAATACCACTTTTCTTGAAAATGACAGTATACCAGGTGCCATGATTTTACAGGCTGCTTTATACTGTCATTCACTAACAGTCCAGCAAGGTATTTCAAAATGATTTGGTAGTTTTATTTTTTGATGTTTGCAAATGTTGTATTTTCCCTTTAAAGTGAGGATGAATTTGACTGGTCTTTGCACGAAAATGTGGGGTTTTGGGGGGTTAAAACAACATGCCATAAATCCAACAATGTGCCCAAATTCATGTCACATATATATATTTTCCCGGGAACACATTTCTTGAGTTGACGCACTTTCGATTTCAATCATGCCCACAATGTTTATGTTCACGAACAAAATATGTTTGGTCATCGACATGTCGATTTATTTACATGCACCCGCACCCGAGTTAATTTCAGGAAGTGAAATGTAACTATAAACGGTCGTGTCATCATCATGGAGGAAGAAAATGTAATTAAAATGATTGTGTAAATAAAATTCAATCGGCTGCTATAAATGTACTTTATTCCCCCAGTTTCTGTATTTATTTTAAATTAAATTTTTAAAACTTTGGGGGTATTTCAAGAAATAACCTATAGTACATGTAGTATAAAATATAAGTCTCGATGTGATTCGATAAGCGAAGATCGCGCGAAACGAGGTTGGTGGTCCCACTTCAAAATGAGGGCGCTATTTAACTTGTACGGTACCGGTATTTGACTGTCAGTATATGCTTCGGGAGTTCTGTATTAAAATGCTAATACATGTACTTCTCTTGTGTTTTTAAATTTATATGATGAACATGAAACTATCATTCAATCACTCCCATACCGTACCAACAATGCGGTACAGCATTTTAATACATGTATTCTCTCCTGAATCATTTTGCACTTAATACAGTACGGGTTACTTTCTTTGGTTTAAAGTTGATTGAGAATGGTATCGTGCTATACATGTATAATACCCGTAACCTGCTAGGGCTCCTTGGGGGTCAAGTACCAAACACATGTACTACAGAATACTACAAAACTAGTTTTGTGCATACTTGTATGAAAAGAAATGCACAAGCTTATAACTAGACAGTAGTATTTTGTAGCTTTATGTGAGGTTTATAGGAATAGATTTACGTAAAGTAGTTTGTGAACATTCAATCTTGTCTTGTGTATAAAGAGAGGATGATCATGCATTTCCTAAGTATATGAAAAAGTTTGGATTGTATTTCATACATCACTAGTAATATTTAGCATTGTCGATCAACAGTTTGAACGAAACTGGATCAATAAATCAAAATATTTTTAAAAGGCAAAATACAAACGATCAGGATTTGTGCACAAATAATTTTTACAATTTCTTTTCTGGGGTAAGTGGGTTGGGGTTCCGAGTCTTTTAGTTTTAAGTACAGTGAGTACTAGTTCACTAGTACTAGTTTCTTGTGGGGTGCGAGTATTACTTTGGGGTATTTGTCAAATTAAAACTTGGGACAACAAATATAGTGAAATTAAATTAACGTAAATAAGAACAGACATGATTCTAATCTCTTTTTTGAAGTTGTGGTGGCTCTGAAAAGAGCCGGTTGGTTTGATTGTCGTTCAGTACACCGTCTATTTGGAGGTGGTGTACTTGGTGACGGCCTTGGTGCCTTCGCTGACAGCGTGCTTGGCCAGCTCACCGGGCAGGAGGAGACGGACGGCGGTCTGCACCTCACGGCTGGTGATGGTGGACTTCTTGTTGTAGTGGGCCAGGCGGGAAGCCTCGGCGGCAATACGCTCGAAGATGTCATTGACGAAGCTGTTCATGATGCTCATGGCCTTGCTTGAGATGCCGGTGTCGGGGTGCACCTGCTTCATGACCTTGTAGATGTAGATGCCATAGCTCTCCTTTCTCTTGCGCTTTCTCTTCTTGTTGGTGCTTGGCGCACCCTTGGCTTTGCCGGCCTTCTTCTGTCCTTTTCCACTTGGCTTGGGAGGCATGATGATTTCGTTTGGTTCGCAAAATCAGCAGAATGACCCCCACTTGGAGTTCGGTGTATTTTATAGCCTCCAGTATGTAAATTAGGGATCCCGATCGAGATCCCTTCCTCCATCAGGCTTAATTTTCCCTCCTCTTTCCGTGGACGTTGATTGGCTATCAGCAACCTGTTTTGCACACGGCCCTGCACGGCACCAACAAAGGCAGGCGCACACAGCAACAGGTGAACGGAAGGCGCACTTGCGCAACGGACAAATTGATTGGTTGATGCGTGGATCCCTCCAAACTGTATAAATAGGTGAAACCGGCTTGTAGTTGGCATTCGTTCTGTTGTTACAAACTAACCGCACGTAAACTATCAATATGTCTGGACGTGGAAAGGGAGGAAAGGCGCGCGCCAAGGGCAAGAGTCGATCATCCAGAGCTGGTCTGCAGTTCCCAGTGGGCCGTGTTCACCGTTTCCTGCGCAAGGGCAACTATGCTGCCCGTGTGGGAGCCGGTGCCCCGGTCTACCTGGCCGCCGTCATGGAGTACTTGGCCGCTGAGATCCTCGAGTTGGCCGGCAACGCTGCCCGCGACAACAAGAAGACAAGAATCAACCCCCGTCACTTGCAGTTGGCCATCCGCAACGACGAAGAGTTGAACAAGCTTCTCAGCGGTGTCACCATCGCCCAGGGTGGTGTACTGCCCAACATCCAGGCCGTTCTGCTGCCCAAGAAGACCGCCAAGGCTGCCAAATAAACGCTGAATCCTCAGCTCAACAAAAACCAACCGGCTCTTTTCAGAGCCACCACAACTTCAAAAAAGAGATAGAATTTCGTGTCTGTTTTATTTTATTTCAATACTTTGAGTACATTTGTCAAAGGGTGGGGTTTCTTTCATAAACATAATTTTTTTTATGATTGTGGCTTATGTCTAAACTTTAAAAGGGAAAAATAAAATAAAAGGGAGATGGTAAGGGTCAAGCAACTACATGTACATGTTGATACTGGGGGATTTTTCATCTTGGTAACGATTTTTTTTGGGGGGGGGGTGTTTAGTGAGGGGATTTATTCATTCATTTTCATACACTTTCAAAAGAGTAGCCATGTTAGGTTCGGGTCAAAACCTTTCATCATAGGATGATGAATCCTGCATTACATATTTGGTTTTTTTTGTTGCTCGAGCTAGTCCTGGTCAGGTCTATGTCACACGATTTTAATTGAGACAGTGTTAAAAAAAAAACAGCCTTTGCTGTAATTGAAGTCACTGTTCTGTCTTCCTTTGTCAAGTACAGGGCGAGTCAAACAAGCTGAACCCCAAAACAAATATATTTCATAAAAAGAAAACTTTATAAGTCGACAAAAAGGAGAGATGAAATCGCCATATTTATGAAAATGGTAAAATAAAGTAGACTGACAAGTGACAGATGAGAATGGAAACTGCTCGAGGAGGGCTTCATCCAACAGTCACTGGATGACCGCACCCTGATGATAAAAAAAAAAAAACGTGTAGCAGTAGCACCCAAATTATTTGTGACTTGGAAGCCCATTTATTAAAGTACTTTTAAGTGAGAAAATTATTTTAATTGCTCTTAAATATGAAATATATTTCTTTGGCTTTTGGTTCCTTTTTTTTAAACTTCCCGTGTATGAAATAAGAAGGACAGTTAAAAACATTTTGTCTACTTTTAGAAGACTGGTGTTTTTTGGGTGTTTTTTTTTAATGATACGCATGTAGCACTACAAAGCAAATTCACAAGAATCAATGTAATTCCTGACATTGACAATTTGCATACAATTTCCTGGCTGTTTTCGTTCAGGAACTGTGCTCACGTGCATCGAGGAAGATGACCCAGAGGTGGAAGGAGAACTCATCCTGAAACCACGCCCTAACTCCTTGAGACACAAAGTGGTCACTCCAAGAGTGAATCAACTGCAGACCATCGTTGACGTCCATACTCCTATTGGGTTTATCGGTGGATCGGAAGACTCTTTAAGGACTTCTGACAAGGAAGACAATCTGGACGAAGGTATTCTGGAGGATGCCTAGCAAACTCATCTGGATTTGCAGGCCACAATCTCCTTTGGGGGGGGGGGGGGTTGACCGCAACTGTCTGATTTTTACAAAATTTTTCACAAAGTCTGAAAGGCAGTTTATATGTACAGCTAATTATTTATCTTTTCATTTGCTATGCAAAATGCTGTGCTACCTTTTTGAAAGTTTAAACATTGGACAGATTCGTCTGAAAGGCAGGGTAAATGTTAGATGGCAGGTTTAGTGCTAGTACATACAGTTAGAATATGCAAAGTATTTAGATAGTGCTATTTTAAATTTTAAAAAAAATGTGACAGTTAAACCGATGTTTAGAACTCCATTTATTATTTGAAATTGCTGCTGAACAAAATGCACAATGTATTTTTACTATTTATCAACAATTCTGGGAAAAAGAAACATCCACCTCAGGAAATACTAGAATGGAGGTTACAAAGTTAAGGTTTTCAGCTACAAAGCATTATGATTTCGATCCTGCTGCAAACTGTGCCTTATCTATTTTCTTTTTTCTTTTTTTTTACAATGGTACTTGTAAACTAAAATAAATTCTAGAAATCCCCATATTATTGGGGAAAAAAGAATAACTTTTAACTCGTCTTTTAATACATGTACAATTTTTCGTATGTGTTGGGAATCATCAAGATATTGTGTATTTAAGAATGTGGAAAATTTCAAACTGTGTAATCATGAAAAATTGTATCCATCCACCATATCAATACATTCTGGCAATCAAACAAACAAAGCTGCAATTAATGTTATCAATACAATACATTTGAACATGCTGAACCGTACATTTCCCAATAACAACAAAGCAAAGCAGTTCATCAAAATTCTTACAATTGTTTAAAACAAAATTTAAAAAGTACAAAGAGTATAAACTAGTTATGTTGGACGAAAATACAACTTGAAATTGTAACAACAGAAGACTATATGGACCAAGACAATCTAATGCATGTATCTGACAACTGACAACATGACAGATAACTGTCAAGACGGGTGTGCTAGCCACTTCTCAGGGACTATTACCCAAATTTCATCCCGAAACTCTCAGGGCAACCACCCATAATTTCACAATGCACAATAAAAAGACAATCTCGCATAAACTCCATGTATCACTTACTATGTTACTTCATCTAGCTTTACTGCACATTTTCAGTTTGTGTAGAACTTTGTACTTCATTGATGACATACCGTTCCCCATTCGTGGTGGTTAAAATCTGGCGGGAAATGTAAAAACATGTGATTTCAGCCTTAGTTTTTCAATACTTGATGCAAAGCCAGAATTTATCACTATCTGATGAACAGCTATCTTCCAAAATTTCAAATAACAAATTTTTGCACTGAGGAACTAGCCTGTTTTTGTATGTACATACCTGCCCTTTGGAGAGATTTAATTTCTGGTTCGTGGTAATGGAAAACTGGAACGAAACTGGCTTTTGTTTAGACTCACTCGACACTGGGACAGCCTTTTGTAAAAGAATGAAAATGACATCGCATTCATTAACATCAAACACATAACTGAGAGTTGATACTAGGATGTTAGTAAATTAACAAGATTTAATTGAATTCAGTTTGATAGAGGAGACAGAGGCAACACAAAGAGAATTGGTCTAATACATTAGTTGTCCGAGTAGAACTTTGGGCACCAATATCTAAATACATTGCAAGGGATTGCAATGATATCAGTACTGATGTCAGGCAAGTGAGACAAGTTGAGACAAAAGAAACAAATACAGGGCCGACTTGGCCTTTTTTTTAGGCAGAATTTACTTTCAGAAATGTTTGCAGAATTTATTTTCAGAAATGTTTGGTTCAGAATGTTACTGATTTGCCTACTCCGTTCAAAAACCTGGATAAGGAACGGAAGGGCATATGCATACCTTGATTATCTTTGTAGCCAGCACTTTCTGCTGTGGTTTCTGGGTTTCTTGTGGCAGGCTTGTTTGGTTCAGGCTTCCAGGGGCCCCCTGATGTCTTTGGGTGATCGGTTGGAGAGGTGGTGGCTCTCTGTTTGTACCAGTCTGCACGTGGACCTGGGTGAGATTCGCTGCTGCGATCTGCTGCTGCTGCTGCTGCTGCTGCGTAGACACTTGTGGAACTGCAAATGCAACAGGGGATGTTGGCATCCTGTAGCCACTCGGCAGGACAGTGACCGCCCCACTAGAGCCACTTCTAGAAGGCGACGTCTGGAGGAACGCAATGGTCCCACCCAGAGGTATGGTCAGAACATTGGGGCTCCTGCCAAATGTGAGCTGGGAGGTATCTTTCTCTTTCTTGACATGTGGCGAGCTGGTCAGCATTTGGGTTGGCGTAACAGGTGAAGATGGGGCCTTCCCGCTGAGGTACCCATGACTTTTGGAGGGTGTACAGGAGTTGGCAGAGTGGGTTGCATTCCTGGCGGACTTGTCCGTCAAGCTGCCAAGAGTAACTGCCTGATTAGGGCATCCTGCAGCAGCTGCTGCGGCTGCAACCAACGGCTTGGCAAAGATCCTACCTGTAGGTGCGGCATACGGTTGGAAGAGGTACTGGCCTTCACTGGTGTCCAGCCCAGACGTCATATTGGAGGGATATCTGGCTGAGTGGCTGGTGGCGATTTGTGCAGGCAACCGATGAAGGTATTCCGTCTTAACAAAGGGTGCGTTGGAGAGGCGTCTTGCTGAATCAAACTCGCAGGAATCGGCTGAGGTCAGGAAGTAGCTGGGAACTATTAGGAGGTAAGAATCAGTGGAATCCACACATGTTATTTCTTTCTTTTGGCAGTATCTTTTGTAATATTTTTGTAAACTGTGCCAACATTGACACTGCAACATGTTTAAACTGAGAGATGAAACATTGCGAAGCACAACCCTTTTCGAACAAAAAATAATATTATTTAAATAGTATAAGTTTGCTGTTATGAAATTGCTTTATATTTGACTTCTAGCCAGTCAGGAGATCCTTTGTAAATAAAAAGGTTTTTAAAAACAAACTTACTACTACATTGAGGATGTGAATCAGCACCAGACAACATGGTAGCTTGAAACTCAACTCTGTAACGGTCAACATGGTTACTTCAAAGAAAACTGATGTTAACTGGATAAAATGCTCAAGTTATTTTACAAGATAAAATTGTTAATTTTCAAATGACTTATGTCAGTACATGGGGAACAGGTTATAAATCATGTTTATAATCAGTCAGTAAAAAATTACTGGATAGTTCCAATATGTTAATATAAATTTTCTTTGGATCAAGAGGACACAACTCATAAATTCAAAAGCACATTGGTTCCCACTTTATCAATTCCAATTAGTCGTTTGGATCAGTAAAATATTAAAAGAATGCAATAAGTTATTTAAAAAAGAAAAAGAAAAAAAAAAGTAAATAAATAAATCAGCATACCATCTTTGTCCGTATCGAACAATCTCCTCCACATGGCTCTCTCCTGTTTCTGGTTTAGCTGCACATCCACCATAAACAAGAGATACTCCTCGTACAGCAGATGCAACAAGTGGAATGAACCTGCCGAATTGAAGTCGTATCATTTTAAGTCGAAGTTGATTTTAATAAGTAGTAGAGATGGAACTTTAGATGTTTTTGAACTGCTGCATGATCAAATTACAGAGGGTGAAATCACAAGTGTACATTTGACATTTAGCGATCATTTATCATGTCTGTCTGAGAAAAATTGTATCGTCAGTACATGTGACCTCTCAAAATTGCTTGTGATAAGTCAATTTTGTCTGACTATATCTAATCGCACCTTCCGAATTATGGGTTTGCTTATCTTGTCCACCACCCTTCTTTACTCCCATGATTTCTGCTATATTATGGATTTTTGTATCCTACAACTTGCCAAAACTTGTTGCACTTCTCAGTGTCTGATCTCGAATGAGCAAATTGCAGACGTAGGACCACTGCAGCAAGAAGTCTCGCTCCACCTCTTCTGTCTTCTCACGGTCGCCATCTCCACTCTGAAAGGCAAAAAAAAGAACAATGAAATCATAATTACCATTTTGGGGTTTCTAAAACAAGGCCGAACTTGAATTACTTAGCTATGGGCTTACAGCTGGCAGTAAAGTGCATCTTTTGGAAGTAGCTTCCATTGGCACATGTGTAACTGCAAGCAATAGCCATAGTAATTCGGACGAGGCCTTAAACACAATTTGATTCTACTGCTGTTTTCAGCATTTCTACAATGTTACCACATTTGAAGGTTTGGTACACAGATCCCACTTACATTTTTCAGGCATTTGCTGCGGACAGCGTCAAGCCATTTGATGTGCTCCTCAACACTTGCATGCTTCTCCAGAAGCCGAGAAAATTCCGAAAAACCTGGAGAAAAAATGATTCAGTATACTAACTGCACATTTGAATTTCTCTTAGTTATCTCTAGCATGTATTCACGGAATAACTAGGCCTTTTAAAAAAAATCTTGGTCCAAAAGCAGAGGAAAGTGTCTGAGGCACTAATTTGGCTCTATCTCATTGGGATTGATCAGCAAAACTGTGACTCAAGTCAGACTCGATATGGGCATATAGTGTAAATTACTTTTTCCTTACATACACAGGGAAATAACATTTGAGAGCTTTATGACTCACATTTCTTGACCACTGTTTTGATGTTTGCTGAGTTTCCCGGAGCTGTCCACATGAGCTGGGAGCACACGGTGTTCTGCTCAGTCCGTTTCCGCCAGTCGTGGCTCATTTGGGTGACGGTCACTTTGGTCTTCAGAACGGCTCGTGTGGCCTAGCAGAGATATTATTCTCCAATATTCAATTATGGCTTGAAATAACCACTGGATGTAGCAAATAAATGTGTTCCTCAACAGATACTGTAAAAATGGTGCTCAATGTCATTTAACCATAGATCAAAAGGATTCTTTTTTTAAAGAAAGTTTTTTTTTTGGGGGGGGGGGAGGGGGGTAAATTTCTCACCTGGGCAAGATGAGACAGTGAAGTCTTCCTCTTCAACAGCTGACAAAATCGCTTAACAGCTGAAATTAAAATATTTATGACGTTTGCAGATTTATCTGGATAGTTGATATTCCTGTCAATCATGAAGTTCTGGTTGAACCATCAAGAGAGACTAAGTTCGCTTTGTTAAATATATGCACTGATTACAAATACAGAAGCCTTGGTGTAAAAGCATGCATCACCATTTTTCTTAATTTTAATGGAATTCGAGTTATCTTAGAAACACAAGTTAGTATCAGACAATAATGCCTGCAATCATTCATTTATTTATTTTCTTTTCAATTTGGTTTACTCACTTTCGACTCGCTTGAGATGGAAGTACTCCGTCAGCCCAGGGAGAGATTCCTCTACGACTTTCTGGAATCCACAGGAGAAATTGCGGATAGCATGGAGCAGACTGAGTAAATGATAACAACAGGAATTATATCAAGTAACAGACTTTGGAATTAATTTGCGGCTGGACAGTAATTCTGGCAGATCTTGTTGTGCATTAAAAAAGTTTAAAAGCCACCAAAATAATAGCCTTTCTTCATTGCACAGAGTTGCACATGCCGAAACAAATTCAGTGTTTTTTTTCATTAGTTACCAAAAAGAAAGTTAATTTTTTAATTTTAATACCGACTTGATCCTCTCATTGACGTCTGTTTAATACCTTGGAGGCAATTGTTGTACAGTTCCAGGGATGAGAATGTTGATCATGGTCTGGTACAGGATATTGTCACAGAGTGCAACCATGTCAGCTAGTTTGTCTGATGATGAGCCACTCTGTAAGACCTGTATCATTGCCTCGGGCAGACTCTGCCAAAACCGCTGCACTGCTGCTGGCACCTATGTTAAAACACATCCACAAAATGCAAATTATTTCTTACAGCTTCTGAAGAAGTCTCCAAGATGCTTTATAAATAAACAATATAGTAAGGATTTTAGATTAAACAAGTGAGGAGTTTTAGTCTAGCTTTTAATGGTCAGCTTATTCCTTTAGAGTTTGTTTGTTGGTCCTTATCTTTAATTTCTGAAAGAGTTATGACCGATACCTCTTCCAGTTTTCCTCGCAGGATGTCCTCAATGACCTGCTGGCAGTGGCATCTGTACTGGGAAATGACTCCATCAACCTGACAATATTGAAAATCAATTTGTAAAATGTGATGTGGTAGAGTTTATAACTTAGAAGTTTGTAGATATATTATGCGAAATTACTCTAAAAAAGAGAAATCTTTACTACTGTTATCCGTCCTGTGCAGCTGTGTCCTTGGGCAGGGCACTCTACTCAACATACCTCACACCGCCTCGGAATACCAACAGTGTACTTGTTTGATCATTTGAAAAATAGCTTGCATTTATACAAAGGCGGCCCAAACAAAGGGGTTCGCCAAATGAGAAACCTAGATCACACCTGCTGAAACTCTATGCCGTCCCATGGTTGAGTCTGCGCAGCCGTTGGAAACTCGGGCAGCAGCGTCAAGATGGAGGTCATCTGTGATGGCAGGTTGTCAGTCCGAGACTGGAGCTGAAAAGGAGATGACACAAATGGTTTGACTGACTAAAACACCACTGAGTTCACAGGCATGTGTTGTACATTCTATCAATTTCTATAACTAAAATTTGTCAAGGGGATCCAAATTCATGATCCCCCACCCAAAACAACCCCCAAACAAACTGGGTAAGGATGGGGTAAGGGGGTTTTCTACCCTTCCCCACCACTGGGGAGAGGGGGTTCTCTACCATCCCCCACCACTTCCACCACCTATGGCCAGTCACTGTTTACCAGAGAAGATTGCCACTGGGCTGTGGATGACAGGAGGGGGAAACTGGCGTGTCTGTACAGAGCAGGGGCCGAGACACGCTGAGAGTCCAGGAACACTCCGAAGTAAGGGGAGGATTCCTTGACACGGATACCGTAGTAGTGGTACTTTGACTGTCCGCGTGTTCCCAGACGGCGGGTACGCAGCTCAGGAAAAACCTGTCTGATAACCTGCATGGATAAGAGAGGTATGAATGTTCACTTTCTTCAAACTCTCTATTATAGTTTCTTAATCATCAGTTGTATTAATATTTCATTTTCTATCATTTTTTTTTTCAAATGTAAAAAGCATCTAGCAGTGGGGATTTTTATGGGTAGTTTATAATGTCCTCTGAAGTAACTTACAAATTTATGTCATCAAAAATATTGAGATGTACCTTTCCAAAGCTGGCTGCGTTGATGGGACAGAACTGGTGTTTCTGGCAGTATTCTGAGTAGTGCTTGTAGATCAAACAGCGAGGCAATGAAACCCCTTCAACTGCTTCGTAATGCTGAGAAAGCCTGAGATAAAACACAGATCAGAAGTTCAAGGATGCATCGGTTAAGTCAATGTCCTCTGTCAGACTCCCAAGCAAGCGGTAATTATGAAAAGTCCACTAAGTTATGCTTACTGTTTGGATTGATTAGAAAATGGATTTAAAAAAAAAAATAGATAAAGAATTTTGAAAACTTAACTAAATTTCACAATTGGGGGTTTCAAAAGGGAAAAATTTCACAAGCTTACCACTGGAGTGTGAGAATAGTTTGTAATCTGTGGGTCGTATCTTGGGATTCTAGATCAACAACTACGTAGTCTTTCTGATGAGAGGACGAGACACTTTCAGCTGTTGAGGCTGGAGACAAATTTTCACAAAGTATTCATGAGTTTTTGATATGAAGATTGTTATTTGGCTACATTTAGGAATTTTTATGAAACTTTAGTAATATTAAATTTTGTTCTTCTCATACACTGAAATGGGTTGCTAGCATTTGGGGTTTAAAGTGTAACGTTACTCTTACATTATGGAAACCTAGATCTAACTGTTAAGTGTTTATACTTATAGCTTAGCCTTAGGTTACTTGGTACTGGTTAGGCAAACAATGATGAATGTGGAAGTTGACAAATGGGATACTTTATGTATCACAATTTTAGGGGCAAATCGAAGGGGGGGGGGGTTGATATTATTGAGGTTGAGTGAAGGCATGTGGATGCCGTATGCCGAAGGCATGTCCTGTTAAAGTGCTAGGGGGTCTGGGGTATGCCCCTGCACAATTTTGAAATCTACAATGATTAATCCTGCTATGGCAATTTGCCAAAATGGAAATTTAGCATTCCATTTATTATTTTTGCCCCATTTTATTATAATATAAACTAAAGACAAAAAATGACTCATGTCATTAAGGCCAAAAAAAAAAAGTCTCCGGTTTCTGGTATGGAGCTTGCCCAAAAAGTGGTGCGGGGACGCGGCTTTTTTTTTTTTTTTACCCGACTTTTTTGCTTCAAATGTCGGCTGATGACTGCAAATGGTGCCCGACTAAACTTAGTGCAATATATGGGAGTCCAGAGAGGCCACATAAAGCTTATTCTCGATCATAACCCCATCGAAAAACACGTTGAAATTGCGCAGCAGCAGAATTCCAGTCAAACCAGTAAGTTTGGCGGTTTTGAGACATCATCTTTCATTGAAATAAAAACTTTTTCATTTTGTCGACGCTCATGGCTACGGCGACGCGCGCGCATACCAGAAACCGGAGACTTTTTTTTTTTTGGCCTAATATTAGTCAGCACCAGCGGCTGTCATGGCTGTAATTGTAAAATTATTCAATGTGTTGAAGTGTAAGACTAGAGAGGGGGTGGCAACCGTGGCACCCTGATTTGCACCCCCCCCCCCCCCCCCCGGTTCACCACTGAATTTAATCCTAAGTTCCTACTCTGTCAGTCTCGGTCATACAGTCACTGAGTCAGTAGTCATGAATAACCATGGCCTACCTTTGGCGGTAACACTAACACTAGTAACAGTATCAACAGTAGAACTGGACGTTTGTTCTGAATCCATGGGACCCTCAACATCACCCATCTGTTTCATCAGTGTCCAGGCTGGAGGTGTCAGTTGCTGTTTTAATTAATGTGTTGGAATTCGATGCACTTGAAAAAAAAAATCCTCATCCAAATTTGTCGTCTAGTTCCCAAGACTCTTGTGGACTATACACCAGCACAATCACGACCACGTTTTCCGAATAATTGGGCGGAAAGAATGATAACTTTTCCCACTGAAAAGAAGACAATGAACGTATCATGTCGTCTACTTTGGCACAGACTGAACGTGCAGATTGGGTGATTTCTAATCGCTTAAGTCTCTCTGAGTACACTACCGCACGAACTACTTGTATTATTTCCAAAACGCTTGTTGCTAACGCATGTCGTGATTGTTCGAGAACTTGAGCCGTGCTGTAGACAGCCTGTGATTGGTTAAAAGTTGCACAGGCCTAGAGGTTGAAGGTCAAGGAGTGTCTTTCCGTCTTTTTCAACATAGCATGCAGCAAACCGGATCCAGAACATTTTTTTCCAAAAATGTTCCGCCCCAAATTTAATTTGAAAAGCAAGGAGGCGCACTAGGACTCTTCATGACATTGGTGCATGGTGGAGTACGCAGTGGAATCCCTTTTTTGCGAAGTCACTTTATTGGGGGGGGGGGGGGGGACATGGCCCCCATTTTCCCCTCACCATGGATCCGCCCTTGTCATGCGGGTGAGTAGGCTTTACTTCTCGCTTCTTTTTCCGCCGGCGCCTACTTACATTTATAATTTTATGATAGCTTTGGAAAAAATATCTCTGTACAAAAAAGACAGTTTTGGACTCTTTAATACCAAGATGTGTAGGGTTGCGGTATCATGTTATTTCATTTTATTTGCTGACATGACACGAAGTGAGCAATTGATTGAAAATGAGTATAGCAGGTAAGAAAAGCAAGGCACATTTTGACACCAATTCGATGAAAGTTGCACCTCAGTAACCTTTTGTTTTACAAACAGATTTTCAAAATTCTTTTTTCACAAAACTGCATCCCAGTACCATCGTTGTTAATTAATCAGCCACTTTCACTGATAATGTTTTGTCTTGGGCCTAAACCTTTAAACACACTTGTTGACATTGGTTATTCGCGATTCACAATTTACCATAAACTGGATATGTTTACTAATTAATTTTAAATTAATATAAAAAGCTTCAAGATATCATCACAATCTAATTTGTACAATACCATAAACCATACGAAGTCCAAAACTTTGTATACATCCAAAAGTATCCCCATGGCATAACTATCTCCTTCAAAGGAATCAGTTTTTGTATTGGTTACATTTACAAGACGTTATGATTTGTCGTCACTTTGATTAAGCTTACAACACCCTCTTTAAATTCCCGCCACTTTTTATAAAATTGAACACCGTTGACAATGACGGTTATTGTCATATTGAGTCAAACTTGGAATGATTTGAACATGGCGGCATAAATGAAAGGTAACGCTGCCAGTTGAATCTTGTTGCTGGGGTGGAGTCGAACTGCAGATGATGAGAACGCGCATGCATCGGTCGTCGGGTTGTCTGCACAAAGAATATGGAGCACCTCGCTGGGGAAAAAAAACATTTAAAAGAATTTTACATGATGATGATATCTCACAAGTTGATGCAATCTGATTTTTGTTAAAGGGAAAGTATGATTTTTAAGGTAAGTTTTACTTACTCGGGCTGATCCACACACCGATAGTTGATGCCTCTCTCGGTGAGCTTAGATTTCAGAGTCTTGATTGATTGAGAATCACAATTGTCACTGCAACAAATAACGACGTTTTTATTGTTTAGTTCCAGTCTGAGAATTATTTTTCCAGAAAACCAAACACTGCTCAGCTGACAATCTTACCCACTTCACATAATTTTGGTGCGTGGCTGAAAGGCTGCAGAAATTAAAACGATATCAAATGAATTCCAAAGTGGAATTCCAAAATGAAATAATTAATTCAAAAATAGAATTGTTTACCCTGGTTCCTCGCCGATCAAGGTGACAATGTAAATATCCACCCTGCTGACTTTCGATGAATTCATATTTTTAAGCTCGAACTCTGCAAAATAACTTTAAAACGACATGGACGGTAATGGTTTAGGCCCTTATACATTCTGAATTTAAGAGTGAACAAAATTGAAGCCAATCGCTTATAACCGTCATTCATTTTGCAAATGCATTGCTTTCGTTTGTTCTTTGTATTTTTGTGTGTATTTGTTTGTTTGTCTTTGCTTGTTCGTTTGTTTGTTTTTCATATATACCTGTTTTCAAGTTGAAACGCTCCGCCCGGTCGGTTACTGTTGACCATGAACTTTACGTTCCCATTCCCGTTACTTCCGAACTATGAGAGAAAAAAAAACCCATTGCGCCAATGGTTGAGATTATTTCGGTTTGGGTGAGATATGGCAACTGGATGGGTTTAGTATTATCATGGAGCTATAGCTCCATGGTATTATTATAGTAAGCCATTGTGAACTTGATAACATATTTGAGCCATTCCAGCTCTTTTATTGTCCTTGGGCAAGACACTTTACCGTGTTTTATCTTTGTGGCGTCATTAGTTTGGTATCGCGCGCGGGGAACTTCCACAAGATGGCATTTGGTATCGAGTCAGAAATCTAAAAAAAAATGTTATGTTAGAATCAAGTACAAAACTTTCGGCCAGGATACAATTTAATTTTGCGAGCACAAGCGCCGAGTTGGGTTATATTATACGTACGTATATCGAGGCAGCGGCCCAGAAAGCATCCACCGAGCCCTTCGCGAAGTCACACTCGTCGGTACCGGGGCAAACCTCGTAGTTGATGCCAGGGTCTTCGGTCTGTCCGCAAAAGACCAACCCGTTGATCATGTAGCCCATCATCATGAACTCCAACGTGCTGGCTCGCCTGGCTTCGTTAGCGTAGGATCTCGCCACGGGATACACGTCCCATCCATCCCAGTACACAGCCTGCAGCATGGTCCAATTCAAACTATAGGATATCAGCGGTTCTTTCCTCTTTCACGTGATAAAAGCCCTTGGTTCCATTACCAGAATCAAATTAAAAAGTGAAATAACTACATGTATATATTTCGGCCGAAAGGCGAATTTTTGGCAAGTTGGAAAACATACTTTGGAGAACGTTTTTCCTTGGGCATGTCAATCACTGATAGAGGTGGGCCGAATTATAGGTGACAAAAAAATTGAGAGAAAAATAGAAGTATACTATTAACCATGTGTAGGCCCTATGTATTGAGAGATAGGGAAGAGAAACAAACCCTGTTGGCGGGAATCTCCACCGCCGCTTCCTCGACGAACTCTTTGTAATCTTCCATGGTGACATTACACGCATCACGATACACGAAAGCATTGTAGAACAGCTCCCACAGCAAAGTGCAGTTTTTCGTTCTGTATACAATGGAAACTCACGATAAGACTTGCAATCAAACGGAAGCGGGAGATAGGAGACTTTTCCTTCGCGTTCAGCATGGCACACTGAAAAATTGCCTGGGTTAATTTTGGCCAAGAAAGGGTGAAAACTGCAACAACCAAAAATTGGGTTGTTCTATAACCAAATGTTTTGGTTAGGAATTTCTGTTAAATTCAACCAAAACTTGTGACCATACAAGACCAAATTTCATTTGGTATTGTATGACTACAACATTTGGTTGAATCTAACAGAAATTCTATAACCCCAACAAACAACCCAATTTGGGGTAGTTGCAGTTTTCACCCCTTCTTGGGTAAAATTAACCCAGGCAATTTTTCAGTGCAGAACTATACTATGTACATGTATAATTTACTATAAGTGGTGAAAACATGTTGGGCTGTGACTTTTTATACACCCATTAGTTGGAACAAACGTTTCTCAATTTTCACGGTAGATTTTCTGACTGAAAATTGCTCATATCAAGGAGTTACCGGAAACTTACTTCAGCTCAGCAGCCTGGACGTGTGGGTTAACTCTCCCGGTCCGATACTCGGCGCATCTCCCTTTGAATATGGCCTCCAGGTCGCGGTCCGTCCCCGGCGGGCCGGTAAATTCGGCGCTCACTCTGAACTTCACGGTGATTGCAACAATGAGCACGACAAAAACTACGCCTGCCTTCGTCATCTTGCAGGAAAATATACCTTGACACAAACTCCGGATGGGATGCTTTCAGATTCACAAATTTTGTGCCAACAACTGAACGAGAAATATTTGACTTCAAGTTTGGTGGCTGCGTATTCAACCTACTAAATTTCACTATCGCAGAAACGCATACGAAGGATACGAAGTCTGTATCGCTGCATCACATTATGGATTGAGATGAAAATATCAGTTTGGAATATATTACGAAAATGGTTTGCATTTGGTTATTATACTGGAATAAGATTTGTGGGAAATCACCTTCTGGACTTGAAAGGGCCCATTCACCCAATTGTTTACATTTTAAAGGTCGTGTTCAACAATCTATCAAAACACACTTCAACAGATAACGCCTAGGTCGTTTACGTTTTGATCTGAAATAAACTTCACTAACACTTCCAGTTGTCGATAAATAAATTATAAGTGACGACGCCAGTACACGCTTACATTTTTCAAGAGGTCTTAAATTTGCTTAGCATCATATTTGGGTTCGTTTTAAAACGAAATCCAGCACTCTAAATCTTTGCCTACCTTAGCGCGGCTTTCCTGGCTCAAAATGCTGATGCCTTAGCATAACCCTATGCAACGACGCACATACATGTAAAGTCACCGTTCCCTAAAAGGAATACTGCTTCGTTTATCATAAGCAGGTATGATTTGTAAACACGTCATTGTTGGTTATCAGAACTTCCCTGCTTTCAATGCGACCGGTATAATGTGTACCCATGAAACGGCATTGACCTCTAACAGTACAGGAGAGACTAGATTTAGCTTGCTTGCCCATCCATAACTTCCATAAAATCATTCATGACCCAAGCGACTGTTAAAAGTTGAATTTATATTGCAGAAAACTAGAATGCAAACCTTTGGCAATGAACGAGACATAATAGAGTCTAGTCGTAGACGTCGGCTGCTGAATGAATGTGCGCATGCCTAAGTTTTTCTAAAATCGTTGGTAGGGTAGGTTTTCATACAGGTTTCACACGTAATGAGCGATTGCACCAGAAAGACTGTTCATGCACAGTATTTTTATTCTCTGAATTATTCGTACATTATGAATAATATAGGGCCTATCTTGTAACATGTGCATCATAACACTGCTGCGACATACCAGCAAGTCCTTATATAATCATACTGCTGAATAAAATTAATATTTAATTTTACGTGTTATAGTTGGCGGGGATTTGTTTTCTATACAACTCAGCTATTAACTAAGAACATCAAAAGCACAGAATCTCTTTTGACATAAGTATCACTTATCGTTAATCCAAGTAGTGGTTCATGCACATACTTCATGCGAGGATCAAGTGCAAGGATCAAGTATAAAGTCATGTACATGATTGTGTAAATGTTTGAACAGCCGTTCTGAGTAACTCAAAACTCTCCTTATAACGACATTGGACAATTTGATTCGTCTTACTGGAGCGCGCCCCATACTGCACATTTTGCTCTTTGAAAAATGCTGTTATTTTCTTAACTATAGGCCTACTTCATGTTTCTTCTTTAAAAAAAATAGCGCGAACATGCATGTATGAATTCATCTGTAAAAATGCGCATGCATGCAGCTGGATTCAGTTCCACAAAATGACATGTAATGTGCTTGCCATGCAATTTGCTATTTCAGGATTTTCTTGTATCTTTCAAGAATTTGAGGGTGGCATGTATTTCTCGATTGTGACACACCCATGTTCACAAAGTGGGTGTGGCATTGTCCCGACCACGCCCCACATATCAAGTGCCGGGTCGTAGCACTGAATGTAGGGCACGTTGATACTTGCGTCGAGCTTACTCCCTCCGGCCACGAAGATCTTGTCTCCCATCACGGTGGCTCCGTAGGAGTACAGGTATTTCCCGTCGGGCATCTTGCATCCTCCCTTCACTCGCTCACACGTGGCTGGATTGAAGATGACGATGTAGTTGTCATACCCACGATACACCAAGAAGTAGATGTAGTCATCCAGTACCACAGCCGTCTCGATGGCATCACCCTGTGCGCGCTGGAAGCTATACATGGGCGTCCAGGAGCTATCGTGCGGGTCATAGCAATGCACGATATCTGGATCGCGGTAGAAGTACCCATTCACATACAGCTTCCCACCATGCGAGGTAGCTACCGGCTTCTCTAAGTAACTTCCCTTAACACGCGTCACGCAAGCCCACATGTTGGACGCTGGATCGTACCGTTCGATGTCGTTGAACTTCTTAGCCCAGCCCATCTTGCCGCCGACCACATAGATCTTGCCGTCCACCACGGCTGCCCCATGACCATGTCGTGGCTTGTTCATGCCGGCCACTTTGCTCCAGGTGTCGGTGATAGAGTCGTAACGCCAGACATCGGACAGCGTCTCCGACATGCTGTCGCCATGCTCAGCCTGGCCTCCGATCACGTAGATGTCGTTCTCCACGGCGACGGTGGCGAAGCGCTGGTTGCGGCCTGGGAACGGGGCGAGGCTGTGCCAAGACTCATCACGTGCGTTGAAACACCAAACGTCACGGACCCATCGCTGGTTGTCATCGTAACCACCCACGATAACGATCACCTGTAGAAGAACAGAAGAAGGAAAGAGACAGGTCTTAGGACGGAGAGCATTAATGTGACAGAAGTATCTATGTGCTTGTCTTCGTTAAAGCAGTGTAAAATAATATTAGTCTTACGATGTCAAATACTGCACCTTAAAGTCATGCATATTTCCTACCTGGGTAGTCATGGAAAAACGCAACTTCAAATTGGGGTCATTGATGTGCTGGCCTCTGCCCGAAAGTTCCCTCAGTCTTTTGGCCGTATTGACCAGCTCTCGGCACTCTTGGCACTGCAAAACCAGCGGCTCGGTCTCCACGAAGTCACAAAAATAGACCGGGTCGATTAGCGGCAGACGGACGTGTGCCAAGACGCGAGACAGTTGAAAGGGTCTCAGTTTGGTATCTGCACTGGCCCATCTCACCACGGCTTCAAAGACAGTCTCCTCCGTCTTCACGTTCAGCCTGTCGTCTGCGATGTATGTCGCCAAGATGTCAGCTGGGAGCTCCAAGAACTCGTCGCACGTCACAACCTCTTTGAAATTCGCTAGGGCGTGCGTCATTGCGTCCTCGTAGAGCTGCGAGCAGGTGTAGAGCTTGGCGAAGCCGAGGATTCCCAGGCAGTTCTCCGTCACCATGTTCTCCTTGAGGAACTGGCTGCAAGCGCTCACAGCCGGCGTGAGCTGCAGGAAGCAGGCTGTCTCCAGCATCACTTGGGCGGTGTCCTCATTAATCCGGAGCTTGCAGGTGTAGATGAAGTCCAGAAGGCGAGAGAATATACTCGATTTTATGTCACTCAGGGTGACGGTCTTCTGTCGAAATTCACGCATGGCTGAGGTGAACATGGCACGAAAGTATGGGCTGAGTGCCACCAGGATAGCTCGGTGACAAGGGAAAGCCTTACCCTCCACCATCAAGACAAGATCTGTGATTTCGGTTTTCTTGTGTCTCTGCTCGTTCAGAATGTGCAAGATTTCCAGTGGGTAGTTGTACTCATGAAATAATGTCTCCTGTCCAGCCGAGAAAGTAGACGACTGGCAAGATTGGGTTTCGTCCTCCGTGGATAGACCGGATGACGTAATGGCGCTTGTCGATGACGTCTCACTCTCCGTCTCGGTCGAGAACTGGCCAACCAGAAACTCGCTGCAAGCGAACTCCACAGACTTGCCAAGGAAGGGTGTCTTGTTAAAGCAAAGCTGGAGCAACTCCTGGGCGTTCTGGTTGGTGATCTGCATCTTCGAGGTGTAAGTGAAATCCACAATGAGCTGCAGCATCTCTGGCTTCATCTTCGGCACGTCCAGGATCCGATTCCTTCCCGCACTCGCGAGTCTGTCGCCGTAGTTTTCGAGTAGACTCTTCTGCAGGAGGGGACTTCCCGCGCAGACCACGGCCAGATGGCAGGGGAGGGCCGGGCCGGAGGTCTTGTGGCCTGCTTTGAGACGAACATCAGTCATGTCCCCTGCATCTCGCATGGCACTTAGCACAGCTAGGAGCTCCGAAGCCATGTGCGGATGGTGAATAACTGTCCAAGTGGTGTTGGCGTAATCATCATTCCCGTCATCCCTTGCGACCTGATCTGCTACTAGCTCATCCGTTCTAGATGCATTACCTTCATCCCTAGCATTGTTATCATCCGCCTCGATCCCAGAAACAAGTATGCTCGGAACGCTGCTCCTGTCGTAACGTGGTCTGGAGCTCCAGAAAGAACTTGAACAATCCTCCCTGGAATCAGTACGATCTTCTTGATGAAATTGTCCGTCCTCATTTTCCCGTTCAACTGAACTGTTTATCTTATCATCCCGAAAGATTTCCTCGTGAAAATCCACATTAGATGTTGCCATGGTGATAAAATCTTTTTAAAAAATCTTACAATCAGACTGTTTAAAAGTGGATCACGCTGTGACCTGTAAAAAAAACACACAAAGAAAATTCTAATTAAAGGAAATAAATATTTTGTCTTTCCAATATTTATGTCAACTGGTACCGTTTATTTCAAATGCCAAGAACAACCGACGTGTCTATCAAAATTTATGGAAATAAAGGTTAAATGTTTAATCTTAAACTTTAAGTCTTAAACTTAAGATTCACATTAAATCTTGTCGATTGCAAACATTGTCCTGCCCTATATAAATAGCATTCAGTTACTCTTTTCTTTTTATTTGTCCAAAATCAAGTCATGTGAATATCATCATTAGAGTACAGGTCGGCGGTCACGCGCGGCTTGTGATCGCCATTTTCCAATTCTCGACTTCGAATCCGGTTCAGTTTCAACTCTGGCTCCAGAATCATATTTAGAAGGCATAATTATATTACATGTATATCAAGGCAACATTTGGCTTATATTTTACATGATGCTTCTGAGCTGAGGTGAGCTGGAGCTGAGACGAACTTTCGAAAACACCCAATAGACTGTTTGCTATTAAGTCTTATGTCCAGGGTCTGGCTAGCTACGTGCTTGCATACGCATTCCAGACTGAATTCCAATGACGTAGCCGGCCAGCTAGAGCATATGATGTTGATTATCATACCGCGGAGCACAGCTCGCATCATCACGTAGACATCTCACCATCTTCAAGTGCCAAAGGCTGAATTCGAGACGGTATCCTAACGCTATGGCATTTTTTCCCGTTACTTTACCGTATGTTTGATCGTCGACATGATTTACATTTATTCCTTTGTTTCTATTGATCTGATTTTTCACCATTTTCATTTCGATCATTTATTTTTACATGTTTGACAGTGGGAATTTCTTACTGTGATTTTTTTCCAAGGGATCATTTTATACTATAATAGGCCTACTGGTATTACTCAGAAGAAAAATTGAAGCAAGCATGCGATGAAGCAAGTTTTTTTGGTCACTATCAGCAGTGTTGCAATAGACATTTTTGAAGACAACAGCACACAGTAACAAACAAATTATTATTAAACCCGCGAAGTTTTGTTTCAGGAATATATATATAAATACCTGAACACATTTTGTGCAGAGAAAAAATGAACCAATACCCTGGCATGAAATCTTGACGTAATGGTGACGTCATTGCATCGAATTTATTTTTAGCCAAAAAAAACAACAAAAACAATTGGTATAGTCAAGCACAAAGAAAAGTATATGTACATACCTTTACCGTGCTCCCATGTAAGCCAGTCCAGACAAATCGAATATCTGTGCTGTAAACTTTGTAAAGTTAGTTGCAGAGGGTATGTCACGAGCACAAATGACTAAAACGTCATCATCGATCATAGATCATTAAAATAACTAGGGTGATGCCGTATTTTGATCATCAGCTCAAAATAATCATCTGTTTTATGAGTAACTCCGGCTTCTTGCAGGCATCATCAAATCTTGAACGCCATAATCTTAAGACAACCCGAGAAACATCCCGCAGTCAAACATCAACAAAGCTCTTTTTCCCACGGTCGCAAAAGCTACGGAGCCACCTAAATGCCACTCTGTTTGATTGTGGATTAAGTGATTGTACTCAAACATACACCGGACATTTGATGATGCCTACAACAAGAGCGCTGCGATTTTGGCAGTTCGGGGACGGAGTAGGAAGTGGATGCTGAAATAAATAAAAAGAGCAGCATCATCATCTGGTCTGGGTCGGAGCCAAGAAAGGGGCTTGAGTTGCAAGAAAATATCTCAAAACCGTGAGAGCAATTCGGGTCATGCAGTGAGTTCATGTGTGTCAGTCAGCAGGACCTCTGACATGTGATGAATTCCAGAGTATCAGAGTTCGAAAGAGATACATCTATGAGATATATTACAAGACGTCACCGAAAAAAATATGAAGTGGATGATTGGTTATGCATGGTGTTATTAGGTTAATTAACACCATGATTTCCACACATTAAAAAACGAACTATCGTGAAACTATTCTACTTGATTGTAAGTAAATTATAGGATCAAACATCATATGAAATCATTGCGCCTAGTTTGTTGTCATTTTCGAGGGAAAAAAGGGAATTACCATAATTATCGCAATGGTTAGGAACAAACCATCGCGCTTTCAACGGGAAAAATGAAAATGCATTTTCACAGTTTTCCAAGAAGTAGGCCTAGTATGATTTCTACTGAGCTACTTGAGCTGAAATTTCGACAGTTTATATTTTTAATAACCTGCTTCAGATTTATTCCAATCATATTTTTTTTGTAAAAATGGTCTCGAAAAAAGGGCTAGCGCATTCAGAAACATTTCTGCTATATCAAACTGATTGGGAGTCTTGCAACGCTTGCACCCCCCCCCCCCCCAACAACTTTCTGGGCCCGCCCACTCCGCCCTGATGCGTGTATTTCCCCCTATTGGTAGTAATGGAACAGTCGGCAGTGGAAAAGAAACCAATCAACGTAACGGTGTTGGGTCATGTGATCGTCACCATCACCACCGGACAAACAGTAATGGCGGACATGGATCATAAACTGCAGTCGTAATGGAATGAAATTATGAAAGGATGAGCCAGCTGTAAAGAGTCCCGCAAATTTCGTGATTTTTTTTGCAATTTTAGTCTTCCAAAGGGTGATTGGTGAGTATTTGAGTACAGTTGTTGACGTCTTTCACACTTACATTATGCGAAGTTTTTGGTTTGCTTGTCGAGTCCCGAAATTTTCAGACTTTCAAGTTTCAAACTTTCATTGAACAAATTCGTGTGCTGTGGCATGCAATGCACACCACTGGCACTGCATACTGTTTTGTCACTGTGGAAAACTCATCGTTTACAAAGACGATCTTTTCCTTGATAAAATAAGTAGGTAGCTTTTGCTCAAGGAGCTCAACATGCATTATGTGATCAAGTGTGCAATCCCGTTTTCAATTTCAGGTGTGTTTTTTTTTTGGGGGGGGGGATTTAAATTAACTTAGTTTTGGTTTGTTTTAAAAATATTTTAATTTGTTTTGTTTCTGTTTTTTTTAAATTTCACAGATACAATGTAGCAAATACATGAAATATTAAACAGACCAATAAACAACCCATCAGTGAAAACCGCCAAACCATCCGCCTTGCTATCTAAGACAAATACAGATTTTACCAGTTGGAAATTTGCATTTGTTTGTGCAGTGTTTAATTTAGTGTGACTCTAGGCCTATTTCCTGTTGGGCCTATTATTTAATAATATTTAGTTTAAGACAAACATTTCAAAACTTTTGTTTTTTAATTTAAGCCAACAAATGAAGAATGAGTGGAGGACACACTCCCCTGGATGGCATAATCTGTCAAGATTCCATGTCATCTCAGGAACTCGAGGGCAGCTCCAATGAAGACGGAGACAGCAACAACATCGGAGAGATCCCACATCCATCCAGCCCCCTCCCCCGATCCAGCTCAAGCCTCACCGTAGAAAACCTCCGTCTTTTTGAGGAAGTGACAGAGCGAAGCGCGGCTGGGAGTCCCATTGTTCTCCGCTCAGTTCAGGACTCGGTGCGGACTGCCTCGCCCCTTGGGCCAGTCAAAACTGGGCGGGCCTCTCCCGTCAGGGCAGACTCGCGACCCAGCAGCCAGGCTCGAGTGAACACCCCTCCAAGGATTAGTGCAGAGTCCTTAAGAACTGGAAGCAGTAAGCCTCTACCACCGATAGGAGGGGAGAAAGCTAACAATGATGGGGACGTTGATCAGGATGCAAAGAGCAGTTCAACATCAACCGATGGAAAAACTATAAGCACTAATGGCGACAGGCCAGAGACCAACTCAAGATTAAGTAAGAAACTTTTGTTGAATACCTAGCATTAAGTAAAGCACCTGTTCAGATTAATTATATTTGGTTGACGTTGCTCTTCTCTTGCGGTATTTTGAAAAACTGTTTCCATTTAAACTGAATAAATCTTTATTTTTTTTCTCATCAGGCCAGCCAAGAATTCTGAGCTACAGACGAGAGCGTACCAGCCTCAATGACGACACAGACAGAACCATCCAAACAGCTGAGAGCGTGACAAGATCCGAGCGATCCGTGTCCTTCAAAGACGAGTCTGACACAAGGTGGGTTTGGTCTCCTGCTATGTCAAAACTCTGTGCTATTGGATCCCACACAAATTGCATTTATCCCAGTGGTATTTTGTCTTCTTTATGTTAACCACTTTCTAATTCAAGCTATTCACAAAACAGATAAGATTCCGTTATGTATGCTAAAACAGTATGTAATTTTAATAGGCAATAAGGACTCAAAACAAAATTTCCAAAATTTTTTTTTCTGAAATGATTTTTTTGTTTTGTATTTTGGGCATTTGCAGTCCTCTGAAAAAGTATTTATTTTGTGTTTGTTGAGCCTGTAACTCACAAAAGATCCACCTGAATTATCGTCGGGCTGCAAACAACTCCAAATCTAAACATGGGTAGAATGTTTTTTCGTTTGATGTCTCATTCAATTTTAAGGGGGGGGGGGTAGAGAACTGAATAAACTTTATAAGCATAAAAATGAGCATAAAACATAAGACTGGCTTAGCTGGGTAGGTTTTTTTCCACCTGAAAGTTTATGAATGTTCACTTGATCTCTACTTTTTCAAAGAAGCCAAACAAAGTCTCCGGAAAAGGCTACCCGCAGTTCTGTCAAATCGCCAGCCATTACGGAAGTTGTCAAACGGAAGAATCCGGATGGCACAGAGCGCATCGGCGTCTCCATAGCGACAGAGACAGAATGGAGCTGGCTGGAGAGTGTTGCGCTGGCCGGAAAGGGGGAAGGTCAGTTTTTCACCAGTATTAAAGGAGTATCATTAAAAAAATAAAAATTAATAATACAAAATCCAAGGTATACAAGACCATCCACAACAAAACTCTATTATCATCGGTTTGTTCCTCATCCCCCAACCCCCCCCCCCAAATATCAAACTGCATCAGTTAGCTAAAATTTCCGAAACACATCTTATTCTGCTCTGAAGTTGAGCTACAAGAAGCCGATCAGACCAAGACGCCCCCAAGCAGCGGCTTCCCACGCAAGAGGAGGCATCGGAAGGGTTCACAGTCCACTGTTGGTTACCACTCCGAGGGATCTGATGTCGAGAACGGAGGGTCCAAGTCCCGGGCGGATAGTTTCTTTGAGGAGGACCAGAATGAGGACAGCCAGTCGGAGTCAGAGGTAGGAAAAAAATATAATTATTGATTCAGTGGAGCGTTATTTCAACTTTGCTTGCAATTTATCTGTCTGAACAAAGCTTCTTTAAGTTTTGCTGGATATGCTGTCAGTGGGATTCGAACCAACCACCCGTTTTTATTGGTTAACGACTTTGCTTTCCTGTGTTCTCACAACTTGAGTAAACAATCATTTTGTGAAAAGTAAAGCATCCTTCAGAAATCACAAGAGCATTTGCCAAAAAAAACCTCAAGTCAAAAGATCTTTTAAATGTCACAAATGAAACTCTGTCAAAAGGCTGTGGGATGAACACTGTAGACGAATAATTAATCGATTAAAAAAAAATAATTGCATACATTCAGGCGAAATGTTTAACCTTTTTATGGTCATATTTTTGCTATCAGTATTCCGACGATGATGTTGCCCCCTTGCCTACCGACACCCTCATTCCAAGCATTGGCCCGCCACGCATCATCCAGTACCAGCGCGAGTCAGACAAAGCCGCCGCTTACCCAGAGAGCCCCAGCAATCGCACCAACACATCCGCGGGGCCCGGAATGCAAAGAATCCCACGGTTTGATAGCTTCGGTGGCAGTAGAGTCAGTTACTCCTCGGAGATGGACGAGGAGGACTTGAACGGGGTCTGCGAGTTCTGCCAGCAGGAGTTGAAGAGCTTCCCAACGCCAGAAATGGCACAGACGATGACACCGGATGAAGTGAGTTCACCAAAATAAATGTGTTACTTTTGTCAGTCCTATCCAAAGTCTTTTCATGATAAAACTTCAAAGTTTGGAAAAGCCCATCCAGGAGCAAGTTCACTTGAGGATCATTGGTCAACCAGTGTTTGATTCCTTACTGAACTTATGCCTGTGCACTTATAACAACATGTGAATGTCTCTGGTCGATCAATGGTCATAACATCATGAACCTTGTTTGTCCTGGCTACCTACTGTGCATAGTGATACGTAGCTATTGTGATCAGCGATGCAACTAACCTTAATAGCAAGCTGCTTCTGAATAGTTGACAAGACTAGTCCATACATTTTTTCATTGGTACACTTTTCTAATTCCCAGATCTACTGCTGCGAGGACTACCAGCAGCTAGTAGAGTTCACCCTGACACACAGTCCTGAGGACAAGTACCCCGTGGACGAACTGATCGACATCCAGCCCCACGCCCCGTACGGCAGCAAACAAGCGCGAAGGGCGGCCAAGGAACGTGCGGCCGCACGCATGAGAGACCGGGAGATGGCTAGACAGAGGGCCGCGGGGGCAAACCAGGCCAACTTCTATGCCTGTATGTATGGGGTTTGCGTCAAGCTGTTTGCTGTGTGGAGAGTTGTAATTTATAAGTCAAATCACACGTCAGGTCCCACTTTCATGGCTCTTTTTACAATAGTATAAAATCCCTTTTAACTGTAGCAGATAATTGTGTGCTGATGGCAAGGCCGGGCAAGCGTACTTCACAGGTTGGCGAGGGATATTTTGCAGTTTGCACACAGGATTATCCTGTAGCTAAGGATTCTGTGCTTACAGGTTTACCGTAAAATTTCTACATTTAATAGTGCTGTAAGCACAGAATGGTGAGTTTTTGCAGTAAGCAATTCCATGAATTTTGGATCATCTCACATGTAAAAGGGATGAACAATAACAAAGGAATGCCTCTGCTACAGGTCATTTATTTAGCTTTACAGTTGACCTGAGACTAGACATTGGGATGTGACTTGTGATTTTAATGATGTTATTATAACTCTCGTTGTGTATGTGTGGTATGGTTGTGGGTATATCTATGCAAAATGTTACAGTAAATTTGTTATAGGTTGACCTTGTGCACAAAACCATCTATAGGTCATACACAAGAGACTTTAGAAGGCGACTATTGTCATCTCTCAAAGATTTACAATTTCAGGAAAAGACGTTTGATGTTTCAAACATTTCTTTCAATTTCTGCAAACGTTTATCATAAAGGGCTGTAACATTTTTGCATTTTTGTAGCAATATGTTTTCTTTGGTATTTAGTCCAGTGTAGATAGTCGTGTCATTGACCAAACCCATAATGTTAAACTTTGCAAGGTAATCACGTTTTTATTTTGATGGGAGCTAAAACAAACATTTCTCTACTCCAATCACTAAAAAAAAGGGACGATTTAATTTTCATAAGAATCCATACAGTTTTTTGTTTATATTCATGTAGCTTCGCTTAAGTGCTTTTTCACTGTCATTCATTTTTCAAATTCATCTGCATGAGCCATGTAGTTTCATATTTTGCTGTGCATGTCTTTCAAGTTAACAGTTGTTCAGTTTGTTGTGTTTTAATTCAACCAGATTTTGTTCTATTTAAAACATTGGATCACAACAAAAGGTTCATTCGATATTGGCTATCGAATGTTGTCACCAAAGTACTTAAAAAAAATTGAGAAACATCTTTTTTTTTCAAAACAAAGAAGTATCTTTTCAACGTATTACTCAAAAACTGATCAATTCCCAACGCATTTTTTTAATTTTCATTCTCCAACAAGATGTTTAAAAATGTAAAAAGGTCTTGGAGAAAAATCCTGTTAGGGTCGAAATGTTGTTACAACTAACTTTTTTGACAAAAAAACCCAGGAATAACCTATGGTTGCAGTGTTTTTAAAAACTTGCTAAAATTACCGGTGTTTGAAACTAATAGTGTTCTGCACTTACTCAAATTGAATAACTAACTGTTGTTTTTGTATATTTTATACCCCTCCCTGCATCCACCAACATGCCACCCCCGCTTATTTAATGATAACCGCCTCACATTCTCTGCTTACTATTGGCTGATGCACGGATGCTGCCATTCTCTGCACTGTGCTGACTCCCTCTGGCGATTCACTTTCCTACAATGCATGCACCACCCTCTGGAAACTATTGCACATCAACAAAAACAAAACAGTGCAAGGTAGGTGTTACTGATCAGCCAAAACATTGATACTTTACAAAAGCGCTTGCCAAAAAAAGTTAACCCATAAAATGTAAAGTTCACATCTACATTTTGTTTTTTCCATCCAAACAGAGTTTAGAGGTTTAAACCCTCAACTTGCATACCAGCAAATTTTGAAAATGTTTTTATGTTGGTAAAGTAAAGCTTTGGTACGAAATTGTGAATTACAAATAACAGAAAGATCTTGAATACAGAATCACTTGACTAACAGGGATAATCTTTTGGCAAGTACTTTTGAAAAGGTTACACATTTGTTGCCGGGTCAGAAGAAACTTAGGCCAAAATTGCAAAACTGGAAACGGTAGATTTCATCACCAGATTGACTGTTTACGAAAGAGCATTAAATCTACAATTAAAAAAACAACAATTTACTGGAATAAGTTTATCGACGCATTTGTGTCAGACGGTGGTTTTTCAAGCTTTGCAATTTCGACCTTGTTTTTGGATGACCCATTGACATTTTATTTATCCAGCAAACATGCATAAGGTTGCATAAGTAAAAACAAGGTTTTTATTTTCATTCCCAAACTTCATGCATGTTTGCCACGTTGACCCATTCATTTCTGTTAAACCAGGCTTACTATAAACCATGCAAATATTTACAAAGCTTTAAATAATATTAACTTCAGATTTATATATTTGTTTCCATCATTGTATTTCTTCTGCATTCTATATCTTTACGACGACCTGGTTCAGCCCATCGCTTAGAAATCCTGGATGGAGGTTAGAAACTATGAATCGCACCAAATCACAGCGTGGTTGATTTTGTTTTGTACTCTGATTTCTCTGCAAATACATGCATTTGGCTTAATTTCTCTTTTTTAATTTGCAAGCTTTTGCTGTTGCATCATAGTGCACTGGCAAGTTGCACTCGCAAATTCCACGCAATGCACAGAGTTTTGTGCTTCACAGGCTCACAAATTGCATAGCATTCAGTGCTTACATTTTATTGGCTTTTTTTTTATTTGCAATTATATTCCAAAGTGCTTTTTCCAATGGCAGAAATATGATGTGTCGCTGTATTGGTTTGATTGCTGCATATGCATGCACATGCTGTAGTAAATTCTGACCCATTTTTTAATCAAAAATAAAAGGTGATACTTCTTTGGAACTTCATATCTCTAGTTTATAATAGCTGTCTTTAACTCACAATGAGAGCAGTGTTCTACAGCAGCTCAAAATGAGCGGAATACTCCTTGGTGGAGAGAGGTCATTGTAGTAAAATATCTTGCCCGAGAACACACAGTCAGTGTTTAAACGCATGTGCAGTTGCACATAGTTTTGTGTGTGTAAAAGATGAAAGTCTTGGAGAGATTGTTCATGGCTGCGTTGGCATGATGCTTCAATGGTAGCGGTTACCTTTTCTGCAGGAAACCTTGTCAAATCCTACATGCATTGTTGGTTTGTATTGAGGGTCCTACCGGTGTTTCTTCGAGTAATGAAGCTCATAACCTTTAAGATGCTGGGCTTGTGGGTTTCTTCGCAATATTCTCTCTGGGAACCTTTACCTGCCTGTAGTTCTTGAATCTGTAAAGCATTTTTTTTTTAATTTTAGCAAGAATAGCATGTGGAAAGTTTTTTGCTTTTGTTTATTTTACCATCATCTGCTTTGCAATTTTAATTGTTATGTTTTTTTTGCTTCGGAGCTGCTTTTGGCTTTTCTGTGCTTGAATTTTAAATCATTTTGAGCCTTTTGCATCCAGATTTGTGTACAGGTTTCTTTGTTTTTTTTCATACACACAATTTTTGTATTCTTATCTTGATAAAAGAAAAATTTAAAAAGGAGGAAAATGGAAACATACAGATCTTCTGAGGCACACAAAGTGGAATAATCAAAATGGTATCTGAAAGTGAAACCAAATATTCGTTTTTCCATTTTACAAAACATTGAAGTATAAAATTCAGTAAGTTTAAAATTTGATCTACATATAAGTAGTCTTAGCTCACATCAGTTCCAACCAGGGAGATTTGTTTTTCACATGATCTAAAATTTAGCATATTGAGCAGTTTTACTGGCCGTGTTTTTATCAAGTCACAACCAAAGCAAAAGAGTGAGAGTTCTTGTGTTTGTGGTTGCCATTTGTTTTGCAGGACATGTTTGTGACCAGGCTGGAATTTGCAAAATGTGCGTGTGAGATTTGAGAATGTATATGTGTATATATGACAGAATAGGTCTAAAGGATTCCAATTTAATATTTTCAGATTCTTCCACTCTAATTTCTTCCAAAATTGATTCACAGGTTGCCATAAAAACCTGTTTTGGAGGTCACTACCTGAAAGTTAGACAAAACTTGAAATCTTGAATTACTACACTGAAATAGAGAAATTGAAAAAATTGAGATTGACGGCAGTGGATTGTTCGTAAAATTTTGATATGTAAATATTTCACAACCAACACCATCTTGCTACTAAGGTGCATGGGATTTTTATCTATTAATGCTTACACCTTACCCTCCCCCAAAATCCCTCACCAACTAAAAATCCCTCACCGTTAAAAATAAAAATTCTAATAATATGGTGCTTACATAGTGCTTTATACTAAATTCTCGAAGCACTTCATAATATTACCCGTGTTAATCTGGCCATGTGACCAGTTTTCTGCAGCAGTCCGAGATCAGCGCAATTTGAGCTCTTAGCCTCATTGATACCCATTTATTCCCCTGGATAGAAAGGCAATTATAGTAATGTGTCTTGCCCAGAACACAAGAACCTTGTTCCCCATTAACCAAGACAACCTTAAACCACTACCACAGAGCATGAGGGCTGTTTCTATTAATGCTTCAGATGAGTTAAACCCCCCCCCCATCCCTCACCACCTAAAACTCTCCCACCACTTAAACTCCCCACAATTAACCAAAAACTGGAAGATATTTGACCCGTACAACTCGTTACAAAACACAAAATTTGAAAATAGTCCATTGACATGTGTACAAAACTTTGCTCCAAAAACTCTAGTTGCACGGCAGATGAAAACCATCAACTACCAGCTGTCCTCTCAGAAGTGCCTGGACGAGGGATGGACAGTCCGACCTCCAACCCCTAAGGATGATGATGGTGGTCCACCGGTAGTCTTCCAACCGGAACCAGTTATTCCTCCTCCTATCATGTCCCAGGTATGACGCACCCTTTGATTCGTCGGGTCACACTTTGGGCTCCCCCCCCCAAACAAATCTTAGTTTGTCTTAGTTTGATTATTGCCTATAGACCTTTATCATGCTGCCACTATTTCAGTCATGTTCCCTGTATCCAATAACAATACTGAATGATAATGGTTTTTGTGCAAAAAGAACCAGACTAATTTTCCTTCCAGCCTCGCTTTGGTTATGTTTATTTGAATGGGAAAAAAATCGAGATGGCTGCAACATGATAATGGTCTATTGTCTATGATTTTCTATGAGCTGATGTCTATATTTTGTTTTAATATACATTTTTTTTCCTCCCCAGGCAAGGCAGGGTATTCGGGACCCTAAGACCGTCCAGAAGTTCTACGACAACGGCAAGCTCTTTATGCTTATGTTTCCCGACGGCACTGGCAATGTCTTGTATCCTTCAATCAGCAAATTATATTATCTCAAGTTTGTTACTTTGTGGAAGAAAAACTTCATTCCTTTTTCTTCAGATATCAATATCAGCATTGATCATTGATATTTTTGATCATTGATCATTGATCATTGATCACTGCAAATTCAGTTTCGATTTGAAAAACAATGTTTGGTAAACAGTCGATGGATTTTATCAACCTTTCTAATTTGTTCAGCTTTACAAATCAAACAAAAAACACCCAAATTGCAATTATGCTATTTCCGTTAAACAGTTTTTACCGATATTTCCTTAGCTTCCATTCCTGATCTACACAGCTACCCTTCAGGGAACATAGCCATCTTGATAACATCAGTGGAGAAGGGTCAGTATGCATACCTTGTCTACGAGGACATACAGAACAACGCCCCGCTCCTGGCCATGTTTGAACCTAACGGCTGTTCCACTTGCTACCACTCCAACGGCAACATAAGGTAGGCAGCGCCATCTTGTCTCTTGGGCAGCTTTGTAACTTGTAGTCAATTCAAGTCAGTCCCAGGTAAATCACAAGTCAAGTCACAAGTCCAGTCACAAGTTTAACTGCAAGTCCAGTCTCAAGTAACAGGAATACAATAATCAGAGTTCATTTGAATAGCTTGTGACTTGACCCAAGACTAGAGGGCTTGTGATGGACTTCTGTTGGACTAAGCCCACATGGGATAGTCCACTGAAAACTTTGAGCTATTTATGCAGAGAATTAAAAGAAATTGACATTCCAGGGAAAAACATACAGGACTGAAAAATCCAATCCACGCGTTGGCCAAGGCGGGATTCGAGCCTGGGACCCAGCAGTCAAGGCTTGGAAAATACCGATTCCTCGCCCCGATTCCGCCCCAAGAATTTTGCGTGATCCTCGCTTGATTAATTAGGTCATGTCATTGTCCAGTCTAATCCTGACCTTTCTCTCAACCAATCAGGATGAGCCTGGACCAGTACGGTGGCGTCTTCACCGACAGCAAGGGTGCCGTCAAGAAGAAGTGGTCATGGAAGGACCAGGTGACCCACGTCCACGCTCCGCCATTCCAACCCATCTGCTTTGCCATCAATAAAGTCTTCAGCGTGCGCTGCATGGCTCAGGATCAAGTCTACCTGGCCTTCAACTGCAGCCTGCAGAGCATTCGCTTCAACGTCGGGGTCAAGTTAAAGGTAAAGAAAAGCCTAATATCCAGAAAATGGTATTGACCTATTGAACTGATTGATTGGCTTTTTTGACTTCCATGTACTATGAAGGTAACTGCAGAATATCAGAGCTTTCTTAAAATTATCATTTGTTTCCTAAACAGCTTGTTGCACCACAGTTGATCCCAGAAGAGCCCATTGACGACCATGCCCTGTACATGTCAGAGGTCAAGGCATATGTGGAGTAAGTTTATCAATTCACTTATATGTCAATCACATGTCATTCACATGTCAATCACATGTCAATCACATGTCAATCACATGTCAATCACATGTCAATCACATGTCATTCACATGTCAATCACATGTCATTCACATGTCAAATCACATGTCATTCACATGTCAATCACATGTCATTCACATGTCAAATCACATGTCATTCACATGTCAATCACATGTCATTCACATGTCAAATCACATGTCAAATCACAGGATGAACAATGACACAAACAAAAAATGCCTGTATCAATGTTAAATTGCACAGCTTCTCACTTGACTTGAGACTGGATGACATGTGACTGACTTGTGACAACTTGATTGAAACTCTGGCAAATATGGCAGAAAGGATTCTAGGTGCCAGACCATTGTTTTCAGTTTAACCTGACTGGCATTAAGAAAAGAAGAAATCATTTTAACCAAATGTTTCCTTTTTCCCCTCTTAACCACAGACTGATCTTAGACAAGATGCACAACATCCAAAAGTTCTCCAAGTCGCCCAAGCTGGAGAATCTGAGACCGTCGCTGCGTCTTCAGCACGACATCGTGCGCAACGAGCAGCTCAAGAACCGACGGGGGAGGAAGTACGTCACCACCAGCGGTGGGAAAGACGCGCCCGTTGTGACAGTCAATTAATACAAAATCATGTCGGTGCTCCAGCTGTGCTCAATTAATTTGTTGACACGCACTATGCTGTAGAACAAACAAAATAGGATGTGAGAAACAAGTTGGCTGTGGCATTTAGCTAATATGACCTTCCATTTATGTCCAAATCAGTTTTATCAAATTTGTGTCCCATTTTTTTTTGGACATGAGTGCTAGAATAGTTAGGCCTGGGGTTTCAAGTGTTTAATAATCAAAGGCAATATCAGATATCTGCACTTCAAGTTTGATTTCACACTATTCACCATTTCAATGGTAATTTAAAAAGAGCCCCAATTATCAATCAGTGTTTGTGCAAATGAAACTTCAATTTTACCCAATCAGTTATCCATATTGAAAAAGTTTTTTTTAATTTTTTTTGGAGCTAGTCAAGTTCATTTAGATAAGCATGGCAGTTGAATCGATGTGAAGCACACACCAAACGTAACATGTTTGCTGCCCTCTATCAACATCTCTTGCATTGTCATCTTTCACATGGTTGTTTTTTATCTCAAATCATGCATAGGTTTAAATTTCAACTGTGGTCCTATTAACTAAATAGTTTGCTTTAAAAAAAAAATAGCAATCAGCTCACAAAGCTTACAAATTCAAAACAGGATCTACGGTCTAGATTTCATCCCGAAAGTTGGTACCGTAAACATGTTTTTAGGGAACACAGCCTGTGTAGAATTTTAAAAGGAAAAGTAACCAGTGCAAGATGTTGATAGGAGACTGTGCTGTATAAACTTGGCATTCTAGTATTTCTTGACATTCTAGTATTTCTAGCCTAGAGCTATAGGCTTTGTAACCGGTATACAAAGTCTTGTATTTCCTGCAAGTAATTGCAAGTTTATAAAAAGACGTTTGGAAATCCCCGAAATTGCCAGGACAAATCAGTACTTTTTTATATTTGTCCATTTGTTGTTTAAGTGCAGATTTCGAATGGTGCATGTAGACCGGGACTCCATTTACATTAAGCTTGCAGAAGTTGGACTGGCTTATCTGCGCGATAATGTCTACGGACTGGCTTTAGGCAAGCAGTAATTGGACATTTGTTGATGTCTTCCCCCATCCTGTTCCAACACATATTTTGTAATATTATTTTACAAAGGAATTTAAACATTTACATTTAGGTCAGAACAAAATAATTGGTTAACAGATTTAAGTGTGAATCAGTTTTGGGTTTTTTTTTTTTTTTTTTTTCAATTCATTGTTATTGGTTTGGAAAATTGTGAGAATTAAGCTTCCTGATAAATCATTTAAGAACCAAGTGATCTTATTGTAATTATGTTCAGTTTTTTAAACTGTGAATATACAATTGTAAATACCCTTTGTCTAAAATTCAAAAATTAATTATGGTATATTGATTGTGCTTTGTAAATATAACAGTTTACAATAAATTGTTCTCGTCATTTGATTCTCTCATTCGACTGGGGGTTTGTCTTTGCTTTTCCAGTGTTCCATGTTTTGTAATTTATATTTTATTCAGGGTAAAATCTGTAAAAAAATTAATTGTTTTGGCAATTGTAATTATTTTTTTTCTCATTTCCCCCCCAAATATTCGACTTTTGAATGTTGATTGATGCTCCTCTTACCTCAAAGGGAAGTTCTGCATTATTTGCAGAAAAGTCAATTTTTCGCCAAATTTGATGAAAAATTCATTTTTTTCAATTTTGGTCAAAAAATGAAATTGCATCAAACTTGCAGGAAAGATGCCCAAGGGACCCTAGAACACATTTCCATTCGATTTCTGGAAAGATATGCATTTTCATACAAAATTTTAACAAAAAAAATGGTGGTAAAATCAGGCAAAAATGTACAAAAAATTCTCAAAAAAAAATAATGATTTTTGCCCAAATCTTCCAAATATTTGACTTGTGAATGTTGATTGATGCTCCTCTTACCGCAAAGGGAAGTTCTGCATTGTTTGCAGAAATGTCAATTTTTGGCCAAATCTGATGAAAAATGTAAAGCTAAACCCTTGCATTTTTTTCAATTTTGGCCAAAAAATAAAATTGTTTTAAACTTGCAGGAAAGATGCCTAAGGGACTCTAGAACACATTCCCATTTAAATTGGGTGCTCCTCTTACCTCTAAAAGAATTGCTGCATTGTTTAGAGAAAAGTCAATTTTTGGCCAAATTTGATGAAAAATGCAAGGCTAACCCCTTGCATTTTTTTCAATTTTGGCCAAAAAATGAAATTGCTTTAAACTTGCAGGAAAGATGCCTAAGGGACCCTAGAACACATTCCCATTTAATTTCGGGTGCTTCTCTTACCTCTAAAGGAATTTCTGCATTGTTAAGAGAAAGTCAATTTTTGGCCAAATTTCATCAAAAATGTAAGGCTAACCCCTTGTTTTTTTTTCAATTTTGGCCAAAAAATGAAATTGCTTTAAACTTGCAGGAAAGATGCCTAAGGGACCCTAGAACACATTCCCATTTAATTTCGGGTGCTTCTCTTACCTCTAAAGGAATTTCTGCATTGTTAAGAGAAAAGTCCATTTTTGGCCAAATTTCATCAAAAATGTAAGGCTAACCCCTTGTTTTTTTTTCAATTTTGGCCAAAAAATGAAATTGCTTTAAACTTGCAGGAAAGATGCCTAAGGGACCCTAGAACACATTCCCATTTAATTTCGGGTGCTTCTCTTACCTCTAAAGGAATTTCTGCATTGTTTAGAGAAAAGTCCATTTTTGGCCAAATTTCATCAAAAATGTAAGGTAACCCCTTGGTTTTTTTTTCAATTTTGGCCAAAAAATGAAATTGCTTTAAACTTGCAGGAAAGATGCCTAAGGGACCCTAGAACACATTCCCATTTAATTCGGGTGCTTCTCTTACCTCTAAAGGAATTTCTGCATTGTTTAGAGAAAAGTCCATTTTTGGCCAAATTTCATCAAAAATGTAAGGCTAACCCCTTGTTTTTTTTTCAATTTTGGCCAAAAAAAGAAATTGCTTTAAACTTGCAGGAAAGATGCCTAAGGGACTCTAGAACACATTCCCATTTAATTCGGGTGCTTCTCTTACCTCTAAAGGAATTTCTGCATTGTTAAGAGAAAAGTCCATTTTTGGCCAAATTTCATCAAAAATGTAAGGCTAACCCCTTGGTTTTTTTTTCAATTTTGGCCAAAAAATGAAATTGCTTTAAACTTGCAGGAAAGATGCCTAAGGGACCCTAGAACACATTCCCATTTAATTCGGGTGCTTCTCTTACCTCTAAAGGAATTTCTGCATTGTTTAGAGAAAAGTCCATTTTTGGCCAAATTTCATCAAAAATGTAAGGCTAACCCCTTGTTTTTTTTTCAATTTTGGCCAAAAAATGAAATTGCTTTAAACTTGCAGGAAAGATGCCTAAGGGACCCTAGAACACATTCCCATTTAATTCGAGTGCTTCTCTTACCTCTAAAGGAATTTCTGCATTGTTAAGAGAAAGTCAATTTTTGGCCAAATTTCATCAAAAATGTAAGGCTAACCCCTTGTTTTTTTTTCAATTTTGGCCAAAAAATGAAATTGCTTTAAACTTGCAGGAAAGATGCCTAAGGGACCCTAGAACACATTCCCATTTAATTTCGGGTGCTTCTCTTACCTCTAAAGGAATTTCTGCATTGTTAAGAGAAAAGTCCATTTTTGGCCAAATTTCATCAAAAATGTAAGGATAACCCCTTGGTTTTTTTTTCAATTTTGGCCAAAAAATGAAATTGCTTTAAACTTGCAGGAAAGATGCCTAAGGGACCCTAGAACACATTCCCATTTAATTCGGGTGCTTCTCTTACCTCTAAAGGAATTTCTGCATTGTTTAGAGAAAAGTCCATTTTTGGCCAAATTTCATCAAAAATGTAAGGCTAACCCCTTGTTTTTTTTTCAATTTTGGCCAAAAAATGAAATTGCTTTAAACTTGCAGGAAAGATGCCTAAGGGACCCTAGAACACATTCCCATTTAATTCGGGTGCTTCTCTTACCTCTAAAGGAATTTCTGCATTGTTAAGAGAAAAGTCCATTTTTGGCCAAATTTCATCAAAAATGTAAGGCTAACCCCTTGGTTTTTTTTCAATTTTGGCCAAAAAATGAAATTGCTTTAAACTTGCAGGAAAGATGCCTAAGGGACCCTAGAACACATTCCCATTTAATTCGGGTGCTTCTCTTACCTCTAAAGGAATTTCTGCATTGTTTAGAGAAAAGTCCATTTTTGGCCAAATTTCATCAAAAATGTAAGGCTAACCCCTTGTTTTTTTTTCAATTTTGGCCAAAAAAAGAAATTGCTTTAAACTTGCAGGAAAGATGCCTAAGGGACTCTTGAACACGTTCCCATTTAATTCGGATGCTTCTCTTACCTCTAAAGGAATTTCTGCATTGTTTAGAGAAAAGTCCATTTTTGGCCAAATTTCATCAAAAATGTAAGGCTAACCCCTTGTTTTTTTTTTCAATTTTGGCCAAAAAATGAAATTGCTTTAAACTTGCAGGAAAGATGCCTAAGGGACCCTAGAACACATTCCCATTTAATTCGAGTGCTTCTCTTACCTCTAAAGGAATTTCTGCATTGTTAAGAGAAAGTCAATTTTTGGCCAAATTTCATCAAAAATGTAAGGCTAACCCCTTGTTTTTTTTTCAATTTTGGCCAAAAAAAGAAATTGCTTTAAACTTGCAGGAAAGATGCCTAAGGGACCCTAGAACACATTCCCATTTAATTGGGGTGCTTCTCTTACCTCTAAAGGAATTTCTGCATTGTTAAGAGAAAAGTCCATTTTTGGCCAAATTTCATCAAAAATGTAAGGCTAACCCCTTGTTTTTTTTTCAATTTTGGCCAAAAAATGAAATTGCTTTAAACTTGCAGGAAAGATGCCTAAGGGACCCTAGAACACATTCCCATTTAATTTCGGGTGCTTCTCTTACCTCTAAAGGAATTTCTGCATTGTTAAGAGAAAAGTCCATTTTTGGCCAAATTTCATCAAAAATGTAAGGCTAACCCCTTGTTTTTTTTTCAATTTTGGCCAAAAAATGAAATTGCTTTAAACTTGCAGGAAAGATGCCTAAGGGACCCTAGAACACATTCCCATTTAATTTCGGGTGCTTCTCTTACCTCTAAAGGAATTTCTGCATTGTTTAGAGAAAAGTCCATTTTTGGCCAAATTTCATCAAAAATGTAAGGCTAACCCCTTGTTTTTTTTTCAATTTTGGCCAAAAAATGAAATTGCTTTAAACTTGCAGGAAAGATGCCTAAGGGACCCTAGAACACATTCCCATTTAATTCGGGTGCTTCTCTTACCTCTAAAGGAATTTCTGCATTGTTTAGAGAAAAGTCCATTTTTGGCCAAATTTCATCAAAAATGTAAGGATAACCCCTTGGTTTTTTTTTCAATTTTGGCCAAAAAATGAAATTGCTTTAAACTTGCAGGAAAGATGCCTAAGGGACCCTAGAACACATTCCCATTTAATTCGGGTGCTTCTCTTACCTCTAAAGGAATTTCTGCATTGTTTAGAGAAAAGTCCATTTTTGGCCAAATTTCATCAAAAATGTAAGGCTAACCCCTTGTTTTTTTTTCAATTTTGGCCAAAAAATGAAATTGCTTTAAACTTGCAGGAAAGATGCCTAAGGGACCCTAGAACACATTCCCATTTAATTCGGGTGCTTCTCTTACCTCTAAAGGAATTTCTGCATTGTTAAGAGAAAAGTCCATTTTTGGCCAAATTTCATCAAAAATGTAAGGCTAACCCCTTGGTTTTTTTTCAATTTTGGCCAAAAAATGAAATTGCTTTAAACTTGCAGGAAAGATGCCTAAGGGACCCTAGAACACATTCCCATTTAATTCGGGTGCTTCTCTTACCTCTAAAGGAATTTCTGCATTGTTTAGAGAAAAGTCCATTTTTGGCCAAATTTCATCAAAAATGTAAGGCTAACCCCTTGTTTTTTTTTCAATTTTGGCCAAAAAAAGAAATTGCTTTAAACTTGCAGGAAAGATGCCTAAGGGACTCTAGAACACATTCCCATTTAATTCGGGTGCTTCTCTTACCTCTAAAGGAATTTCTGCATTGTTAAGAGAAAAGTCCATTTTTGGCCAAATTTCATCAAAAATGTAAGGCTAACCCCTTGGTTTTTTTTTCAATTTTGGCCAAAAAATGAAATTGCTTTAAACTTGCAGGAAAGATGCCTAAGGGACCCTAGAACACATTCCCATTTAATTCGGGTGCTTCTCTTACCTCTAAAGGAATTTCTGCATTGTTTAGAGAAAAGTCCATTTTTGGCCAAATTTCATCAAAAATGTAAGGCTAACCCCTTGTTTTTTTTTCAATTTTGGCCAAAAAATGAAATTGCTTTAAACTTGCAGGAAAGATGCCTAAGGGACTCTAGAACACGTTCCCATTTAATTTGGGTGCTCCTCTTACCTCTAAAGGAATTTCTGCATTGTTTAGAGAAAAGTCCATTTTTGGCCAA